CAAACACTCGTAATAATCAAGTTAGAATAATAAAACATACATCCATCTACTGATCTATTCAATTCAATATTTATTTAACTCTTTTGGTCGCTTTGCTGTCTTTTGTTTAATTTTAATCGGTTTAGGGAAGAAGGAAATTTATCTGGGAATAGTGTAATATGACCCAAATACAAGTTCTTTCAGAAATTACATAAGGCAATTTCTGTGTTTTAATTTAGAGTATTAATATAAAATATAATAAAATATTTCTTTGGAATGGGGCCAAATGGACTAATGCCTCTTTTCTGTTCAGCTTGTCAGTGATCATGTCACAACGGTTCCATAATATCCTGCATTTGTTGACAGAATAAATTGCATTGATTTTTCTTTTTCTGGAAAGTGACATTTTAATATTGATGTTTAAGGAAATGAGTTTGATACGGAATTTTAAGATAGTTATCATATTACGTAAAACCGTTCTCAGAACATGGAAATGCAATTAGACAAAACAGTGGGATATAATAAAGCATGTAAAAGGTCGTTTTAACCTTGGGATGAGATTGGCTTACAGCAGCTCATTATTACAGGTGCGTGTGAATCGTGAGTTTAATATTCTTACCGGGAACGATTCTCATTACTTCAATGTATCTACCTCGGCTTCTGGAAAAGAGTAGGTTAATGCCACCCTCCTAGCAGTATATTCCTCAGTGTACACTATATGGCATTTCCAATCCTTATTAGCCTAATACATTAGGACGTAAAACGCCATTTCTGTTAATTTCTGGCCTTTGACAATGTCTTTATCATATGCATCCTTAACACACGTATATTTTCTAATGTGCATAATTCGACAATAGACATCTTTAACTCTTAGTGAGATTTTTAATAAAACATCCATACAAGCAAAACAATTCTATTGAACAATTCTATTCTGTTAAAAGTTAAACTATATATCTATTTCTCCATCTTCCAGTGAGATCTTTAAACTATTCAGGTACAAGATAAACTATATATCTATTTCTACATCTTCCAGTGAGATCTTTAAACTATTCAGGTACAGGATAAACTATATATCTATTTCTACATCTTCCATAGAGATCTTTAAACTATTCAGGTACAAGATAAACTACATATCTATTTCTACATCTTCCAGTGAGATCTTTAAACTATTCAGGTACAAGATAAACTATATATCTATTTCTACATCTTCCATAGAGATCTTTAAACTATTCTGGTACAAGATAAACTACATATCTATTTCTACATCTTCCAGTGAGATCTTTAAACTATTCTAGTACATGATAAACTATATATCTATTTCTACATCTTCCAGTGAGATCTTTAAACTATTCTAGTACAAGATAAACTATATATCTATTTCTACATCTTCCAGTGAGATCTTTAAACTATTCGGTTACAAGATAAACTATATATCTATTTCTACATCTTCCATAGAGATCTTTAAACTATTCAGGTACAAGATAAACTACATATCTATTTCTACATCTTCCAGTGAGATCTTTAAACTATTCTAGTACATGATAAACTATATATCTATTTCTACATCTTCCAGTGAGATCTTTAAACTATTCAGGTACAAGATAAACTATATATCTATTTCTGCATCTTTCAGTGAGATCTTTAAACTATTCAGGTACAAGATAAACTATATATCTATTTCTGCATCTTCCAGTGAGATCTTTAAACTATTCAGGTACAAGATAAACTATATATCTATTTCTACATCTTCCAGTTAGATCTTTAAACTATTCTGGTACAAGATAAACTATATATCTATTTCTACATCTTCCAGTTAGATCTTTAAACTATTCTGGTACAAGATAAACTACATATCTATTTCTACATCTTCCAGCGAGATCTTTAAACTATTCTAGTACAAGATAAACTATATATCTATTTCTACATCGTCCAGTGAGATCTTTAAACTATCCTAGCACAAGATAAACTGCATATCTATTTCTACATCTTCCAGTGAGATCTTTAAACTATTCAGGTACAAGATAAATTATATATCTATTTCTACATCTTCCAGTGAGATCTTTAAACTATTCAGGTACACGATAAACTATATATCTATTTCTACATCTTCCAGTGAGATCTTTAAACTATTCTGGTACAAGATAAATTATATATCTATTTCTACATCTTCCAGTGAGATCTTTAAACTATTCTGGTACAAGATAAATTATATATCTATTTCTACATCTTCCAGTGAGATCTTTAAACTATTCAGGTACAAGATAAACTACATATCTATTTCTACATCTTCCAGTTAGATCTTTAAACTATTCTAGCACATGATAAACAAGATATCGATTGTGAAAATTATAAAATGTAATGTAACAGGTGCGATTTTATATTAAACTATAATTAGTTACAAACTCATTATTTCAATATATCTAGTACATACATAGAGAAATATCTCGATCAACTAAGGTTTCAGTTCATGTTTTTATTACTACCCGATACTGCTTGGCAGTGATGCCGGTCGGAGTAGCTGATCTGGCATAATCGAAGCCCTGTGTGCTCATTAAAGAACCCTTAACATTTGGAAATCGAAAAAGGAGTCAATGTCATTGGAAATTTTCAATTATTGTTAAAATCCTCAAGCACTTGATGGAAATCTCCGAAATTTGTTTGGAAATCTTCAGCAATTTGTTCGGAAAACTTCAACCATATTTTTAAAGTACTGTGTGATATATTCTACGTCAAGTTTATTATGGGTGACTTTATTAAGTCAGAGTGTCAAACAGTTTATATCGGATCAAATATTGACCAAGTTATATATCAATATCACTATAAACAATGGCATGATATACTGACGACTACAGTAAATAATGGACAAATTTATTTCATTCATTGTTGAAGTCATTAAAATTCTAGTCAACATGTCATCTCTTGACACTTTAATATTCAAATCTACAGGGTGGTATGACAATAATCTCTTGTTAATTGCACTAAATTCTATTTTTATTGCAGCTCATTCATAAAACAACACGAGTCAATCCCATTCATTTGCATAATTATACTAAATGTTAATGTAAATCAAATAAATTAATCCGTCATGGGATTATGACATGTCATAAATAGAAATTTCATAGGTGTAACACTTTTGCAAGGTGCAGGTGGATTATATGAAACTAAAGTTTGGGAACATTAGTGGTAACGATTTCATAATATACGTAGAACAAAATGTTAAGCGCAACTAACTTTAATTCAGTATATTCTGGTACGCCGTAGACACCCTCCTGTGCAAACTGTAACAGAGTTGGATGCAGCATTGCAAATTCCTCAACAGGACATTCAAAGATTGATGAAAAACAGATACTTTATATTGTCTTTAGAGCCCCAAATGCAATGTACGATCATCCACTTCCTGTTGTTGATTTTTTCACGAATACATATTGTTTTCAACATTAGGCCCCAATATATATATCTCTGTTATCAAGTATGATTGTGAATTGCATTCATTTGCGAAACAATGGTTCAAAATCTGGTGGCGCTTAATATATACCCAGAACAAAAAGTTGAGAATGCGGATTTGAACAACACCTATTCTAAAGAAATAATTAACAACGTCCGGAATATTTTGCACAAACAACTACTACCTCACCCACATATAATTCGAATATAAAGATAATTCTTGAAGTTACAACATGTGGAATATTATATGATAAGTCAAACGATCGCGAGTTGTATATGATTCAAATATTGATCGGTATGTCACTCTAAGTCGAAAGTTTTGCAAGAATGGTTTTGGAAGCAAACCACATTATAGTTGTTATTAAAATAATTTGTTGGTAGAAATCTATTCAGATTAGTTTTTAGAAATGTATAATCTTACCATTAATGAATACGAACTCAGTGGTATAAAGTTAATGATTTGTATGAAAGCTCATTACGCCTATTCTCTTAAATAATTAATAGATTTATTGACTAATTCCAAGTTTTGACCTTGATTTATACTCTAGATATATATTTCTAATGATAGACGAATCTAATTCAGTTCTCAACGTTAAATCTGATCGTCAGCCTTCTAGTTAATTCAACAGGGATTTTCAACCTTTTTCTTTCGATTACCCCTTTCAGGATCTTTGATCGAATGCATTACCCTCTTCCTCCAATACTGGCAATACACCCTTTGCAGAAAAGTAGGACGTAAAACTCCATTCATTTCATTTCCTATACATCTTACACATGATTTTCTCTCTGGTTTCCCCTGCAATTTTCTTCATGTCGGAGAATTTAGCATAACTGAATAACCAGAACGACTTCATTTATGATTGTCCAGAAATCTTCTGCTGAACTAGTAAACACCTCATCAACCCCTCAAAAAACATTGGATGTAACCATCATTCAACTACAACCCAAAAATTATCACTTCTTATGTTTAAATTCATAAACTGTGAAGGATACACAATTTTGAATAAATGCCCATGTACCATATTATAAGTAGAAATCAGCCAAGTACAAATAACAAGGCATTGATCTCATAAATGAAAATAACAAAAAAAAAAAAAAAAACACACACACAAAACACTATATCGTTTCAATTTATTTTTCAATAAGTCAATATTCGGTGACATATTGTGATATTGAACAGTAACCCGAGAAACTTACAAATATATTTTTTATTCTATTTCTTTAAATTTAAGCATATTGGCTCAGTGTGAGTTTTCAATAGGGTAGAGAGATATAAAAGTGTTTGTGATATTGATTGGTGATAATGTTTAGTATAACTTACAAAACCACCAAAAATTATACTACTAAACATATTGATAATATTGAACGATGTTTTTCGATGTAATAAGCCTAACTGGACAAAGGTGTGAGATCGATATTAGATATAAAAAAAAATGCTCATTGATGCAAACGATCACACTTCGATCTTCCAGTTTTCCTTTCACCCCATGACAATGTAAGAATAAGGAAACACCCAGTTACTTCTTGAGATCCCTTTAAAAACCCTATACAATAAGGTGGCAATAAAAGTCATCTTATATAACAGAATAATAGGATTTATTTTGTACAATATAATAGAATATAATCCATAACATGAATGTATTTTCTAGCCTCACAAAATAGCTCTTGGAAATGATTCAAATAATTGAAATCAATGAAACATTGTGAGAAAATCGGCTGGTGTTGAATGAGGGAAGTGAAACCGACTCAAATATCTTGCCTCTGTCATTGTGTACTATCAATTATGTTCATTTTTTGTTTATTGACACGTCGATTTCTCCTGATCAAATGTTGAAATTTATCAAAAATTCTTCAACAAATTTGGTTTAAAACCAGAGGGTCTAGCATTGCCACCGGGTGAATGTCAACATTGTTAACCTTGTATGTTTTAAATGTTCAGATCGTTCCACATGTGTTATCTACTGAAATATTCTAGAATTGACAATATGGTTTTGCTGGTGGTAATCCTCTGTACAAAGAACAGTTTTTACAGGGACATACAATGAACATAGTGAATCAGTTATTGTCAATGATGTTTCACTCTAGCTGAATTTATTAACAATTTAAAATATTGACTCTAATCATACAAGTAGCAGATAATTGATTGATAACTTCCGTTTATTCAAACCATGCTCTAAGTACGAGTCCATAGTCTTTTACCTGCTGGTAAATAATAACAAACTTCACTAGTATAATTTAGGTTACATATACATTATATACAATAGAATTTATCAAATATTTATGCATATTGATTGAACTGCTGTCCCTCGACTAGAAGTTACCTACTATTACTCTCTTTCATCTTCCGCTTCAAATATTTCATCATGGACTTTCGAGTTTTGATCTATAGCCTCTTCTAGCTCGGGATCTAATATGGTGCTACTAGCAAATCCCGAACCTGAGGAATTACTGTCATGGGAAAGTTTCCTATCGTGATTGTTTCCATTAGAATCTACACCGTTTCCCGACTTAGAAAGTTGATTGATGGGACTTCTATTAGGAGTGGACGATTCACTTTCAGATTCGTGAAGTTTGGAATGTTTTTGTCTTTCTTCTCGATCCCGATCTGATTTCCAGTCTTTATAAGCAATTTGAAAAGCTCGAGATAGAACTAGTGCCATGGCTTGAGCTCGTTCCTTACTACCACACAATACAGCATAACATTGTAATTTTTTAGAACTGGGATCGCGACTGATCCAACAGAATATTCTGTCATTAACAATTTTATCAGCATTACAAAATGATATATTCTCTATAGGAAACGGGATATTGGGTTCCTTTTTATCCACGAATTTCACCAACATTCCGGTTTTACCTAACACCACCAAAACTTTTTTCATGTGTTTCTCCTCACCGGCATTATCCCACAGTGTTTGTACTGGTGTCAGGGTGCATCCTTTCCCACTAGCCATGAACGTTTCCGTACTTCCGATAAAACGGGCATTGAACACTGGATCTTTGTCCGAAATTTTCGCTCGATCTTTCTTCCTCCCAAACATAGTTGTGAAAAATCAAATTTCGCGTTCAAATAAACAGTATTATAGACTGAAACCGACCGTTAGCTTTCACATTCTTTCACACCTTAACATCCGAATACCGTGTCGTCCACGTACACTGACTGTTGATTTAATATGAAGTTGTGTTATGCCAAGTTGACCAATATCTTGCAGTAACTTTATGTATACAACATGCGTCCAATGTTAGTGGTAACGTGGTTTATGTCCGTTTTGAGTCGTTCACTAGTCACACTTGTTGAAAACTAGGAGTTGACACTAATCGATAGAAGGTAAATACACACGATACAACTACAACACAATACGCTTTTATACTTCTCATTCAGCCAATCATAGGGGCATATAACTCTATTTATATAGCCAGCTATCTTTTCTTCAAATAGGTTTAAATCTTGCATTTAATTCGCAAAATTAGCAATACGTGTATATATGTATTTAACAAAATGTCACCTACACCTTGCATGGTTATTTGAGTAAATGTTTGAGCTCTACTACGTACCTATATTGAATGGATCAGACACACGATAACTATATCCATTTCAGGCCCTCGAGGTTAGAAACACTCTGATGCCTGTGCCTTTGCTTCCTAGTGTCGGCCCGGTGTCGCTATTCATCCCCTAATACCTATTCATTCTTGGATTATTTAAAATACTCGAGCTAAGTCCATAATATTTTAACATAATATTGACATAGATATCAGATATCTTAAAATAATTCACAGCTTTTGAATCAAGAGATTTCATTTAAAAAAAATGCTAAAATTTTTATTCCCGCAAATATATTTACTTCTTTAAAGGGCCAAGATTAAAAACTCCCATTTCTGAGACCAATGTATGATTGATCAAAAAATGGCGCATATATCCCTTTGATTGTGCACATGGGCACATTGACAATTTGTCTAAACTTCTCGTGAACCCTTTTTCACGGGACAAAATTGAATGTCACTACACAACAATTTGAGGAAAACGGTAACCCTATTTTAATTTCAAAGTTAGAAGATCATTATATACCATATCCTCCTGAATGGGCTCCACGATTCCCTTAATCCAGCAGGGTCTTTAGTGTTAAAATTCTTTTCGGCACGAGGAAATCCTCTAGTGTTGTCTTATATTGTTAAATATTGAGTTACCTCCCATCAAGTGGTAAAACTATTTTTGTATTCTAATACTAGCTTTCAAAAGCTATGTGGTCAGGTAAGATAAGATCCTTATACAACGAACGATGAGAGTAGATTTCTATGATTTCTATGTAAATATAATTATGTTGCTGTATGGCATGTTTGTAATTATGGATACACACTATATAGTTATATATAACACTATCTTATCTTAGAGTGGATAACAACAACATAAAATTGAAGTTACGAAAGCACAGGCCAAGGTGAAAATTCAGTTACATCAACGTGATGAAATTATTATTCATGAACTAAAGAGAGAGTATTAAATTACATAATATATTGATATTGAAGTTCTATTGATAATACACTTGGACATTAAGACCATTTGGCTGTATCGTTTTCAATTTGTTTATCCAGAAATTTTGTAGGTTCTTGTTGGGATATTTTGTATTGTTCATGAAATTTTTCAATAGGTGTAATTCGGGCATTATTTATAGTGTGATCTGACTGGTTAAAATGTTTAGCAACAGATTTGTCAAGATTATGATTTATATCGAATCTATGGCCATTGAATCGTGTTCTTTGATTTTTGTTTCACCAATGAGAGTATAATTTACATTTGTTGATAATGAAATTGTAAAAAATCGAGTATAATTTACATTTCTGACAATAGAAATCTAGTATAATTTACATTTCTGATAATAAAAATCAAGTATAATTTACATTTCTGATATGAAAATCAAGTATAATTTACATTTCTGATATGAAAATTCGAGAATAATTTACACTAGTTGTTAATAAAATTGTAAAATATCGAGTATAATTTACACTTGTTGATAATAAAAATCGAGTATAATTTACACTTGTTGATAATAAAAATCGAGAATAATTTACACTTGTTAATGATAAAAATCGAGTATAATTTACACTTGTTAATAATAAAAATCGAAAATAATTTACACTTGTTAATAAAATTGCAAAATTCGAGTAAAATTTACACTTGTTGTTAATAATATTGTAAAAATTCGAGTAGAATTTACATTTCTGATAATAAAAATCGAGTATAATTTACACTTGTTAATAATAAAAATCGAAAATAATTTACATTAGTTGTTAATAAAATTGCAAAATTCGAGTAAAATTTACACTTGTTGTTAATAATATTGTAAAAATTCGAGTATAATTTACACTTGCTGTTAATAAAATTGTAAAATATCGAGTATAATTTACATTTCTGATAATAAAAATCTAGTATAATTTACACTTGTTGATAATAAAAATCGAGTATAATTTACACTTGTTGATAATAAAAATCGAGTATAATTTACACTCGTTGTTAATAAAATTGTAAAATATCGAGTAAAATTTACACTTGCTGTTAATAAAATTGTAAAATATCGAGTATAATTTACATTTCTGATAATAAAAATCGAGTATAATTTACACTTGTTGATAATAAAAATCGAGTATAATTTACACTAGTTGTTAATAAAATTGTAAAATATCGAGTATAATTTACATTTCTGATAATAAAAATCTAGTATAATTTACACTTGTTGATAATAAAAATCGAGTATAATTACACTAGTTGTTAATAAAATTGTAAAATATCGAGTATAATTTACATTTCTGATAATAAAAATCGAGTATAATTTACACTAGTTGTTAATAAAATTGTAAAATATCGAGTATAATTTACACTTGTTAAAATATATTAAAAAATAACGAGTATAATTTACATTTCTGATAATAAAAATCGAGTATAATTTACACTAGTTGTTAATAAAATTGTAAAATATCGAGTATAATTTACATTTCTGATAATAAAAATCGAGTATAATTTACACTTGTTGATAATAAAAATCGAGTATAATTTACACTTGTTAATAATATTGTAAAATATCGAGTATAATTTACATTTCTGATAATAAAAATCGAGTATAATTTACAATAGTTGTTAATAAAATTGTAAAATATCGAGTATAATTTACACTTGTTAATAATATTGTAAAATATCGAGTATAATTTACATTTCTGATAATAAAAATCGAGTATAATTTACACTTGTTAATAATATCGAGTATAATTTACATTTCTGATAATAAAAAACGAATATAATTTACACTTGTTGATAATAAAAATCGAGTATAATTTACACTTGTTAATAATATTGTAAAATATCGAGTATAATTTACATTTCTGATAATAAAAATCGAGTATAATTTACACTTGCTGTTAATAAAATTGTAATAATCGAGTTTTGTAGGTTCTTTTAGTTAAATTGACTTGTTCATCTTCCGAAATATCTATATTTCATATTAGGGAAATAGGTTAAAAATCTTTTCTTTTTCTTAGAAAAAATTATCTTGTTTCTAAACACAGATACTAAACCACTATCAATTAGAGCCGAACAGGTCAAGAGTACCACACTTACGCTCGTCGTACTAATCCTAATCTTAATCCTTATCCTAATCCAGTTCTCATTCAGTGCACCCTCGTATCACCTTGATCTTGTTAAGTCAATTATGGTTTGACCTAATTAATCTTTACTTTGAGGTTTAATTAACCGTTAACAATATGGTCTAATGTAAATGTTTCATGTCCACGATGGAACAGAACAGTTAGACGAACTCTCCGCTTCATTGTTATTATATTGATAGATTAGAAATTTTATTTCTGCCAGTCGGTAAGTGTTTGACTTATTAATATATGTTTAGTACTGTACCCATGCTTTTTGCTGTTATTTTTACAATGCATGTTTAATCAAAGCATTGAAATTATAGTCTCAAGTCACAAACGTGTTGGAATTTGACCAAATTCAGACTTGTGTTGAATACTTTTGTCATTGTTGCTTTTTAAAATGTTTTAATCGACTAGAATTGACAATTGTTGAAAATATGTCATAAATACTATTAACATATTATTCGAGTGCCCTACGTGTCTCTCCGCAGCTTCAGGGTACCTGTATAATTACTTTGGGGACTACACAAATCCTATTCTTATCATATTTGTTTGTTTGGCAATTTCTTATTCATTATTTACATTCTGAATAACTTACCCCAAAGTAGTCTGGGGTTTTTCATTATTTTATCTTTTGCTTATAGATTGTTACAGTCATTAATGTTATTTCATTTGTTCTAAAGCAGATTCATCCAAGCTTCTTCCAGAACTTGGACAGTTAGTTTCAGTCGCTAACACTAACTCTTCGAGCTCAGTCACTCACGACGGCTCTACTAACTTTCTTCTCTTTGAGAACTTTGCAAACACAAGCTCTTCGAGCATTCAATCCAAGAAACTGCCAGTTGTGTGCAAGTCTGGTCTCTCTGTACCGATTTAGCCAAGTCAACACCAGTTTCCTCATTTACTGTTTATGTTCATTTTATGTATTTTGTATGTGTAGTCCCCGATCGCCAAATAAATATATTGAATTTATTTGTCTTGTTGTAAATTATGCCATTCTGCACTATTAGGCTAGTTATCGGACTTACTTAATGCATACCTCTTTTGAATCTGACTTGCTGAAAGCGACTATAGATTTTGCTTGTGACACTACCGATGAATGAAGAGGTCTGAAGTTGCTAAAACAATCTTGTGGTCTATTGTGCCGAAGCCAAAGGGTTTGAACAAGTCATATCGTTTATTAAGCCTCGTCTTATATTATAACAACATTTACACTTGAACAATAATCGAATGTTTGACCGACACGTTAAAGGTAAGGTCTTGACTAAAACAAAGTATGACAGTGAATCGTTTCTTCGAAGCTGTTTCATTGTAGTAGATACCTTCGCAACAAACCTTTGAATGCAACACAGTAACAAAATAGCTTCTTTAAGTAGGCATGAGAAGACATAAATCTCGACAAATGTGTCCTTAAACTTATCTGAAATTTTAAACCAAAAATATCTTGCCGTTAATTTGTAGAATGCCAATACCTTTCCGTAAACCTTTTATACTCGGCCTTTATTTAGGTTCGTATTGGAAATGAGTCTCCGTCTAATTCTGAAGGTTTCAACAAACAATATTGCACCGTTATAAGGCCCGTCACTAAGACAAATTTAAACTGCTGAACAATTAGTACATTTTGTTTTTAGATTAACCCTTATAAAACAAATTCAGTTTGATCAAGTAGATACGACCCCATTATGCTGAGTAATTCCACCAATTTTTTTAAAATCAATATCAATAAACCAAATTTATCAAATTATTAAATCACACAGCTCTAATATCACGGGAAAAAAATTGTTAAGAGTAAAATCGTTGAAAATTCAAACTTGACCAAGATCTCATTAATATAAATAAAAAGACGTAAAAATCCATTCATTTCATTTCATTGCTCATGAAAATTTCTATTGTGTTTATGAACAAATTTTGAAACATTTTTATCTTAGTCAAGGACAAAAACTAGAAAACCGTTCATCGAAAAATCTTCAAATTTAAACTTGACCAAGATCTCATCAATATACATCACACCAAATTTCATTAAAATCAGTTTAAAACTGTATTCTCTATTGTGTTCACAAGAAATGTTGACGAACCGACGGCAATATAATAAAAATTAGTAAATATGAACGCTGTACTCTTTACGACCCTTTGTGACCTATCCTTACTAAGACACTTACAATGGTTCCTCCCTCAAGTGAATGTAGAAGTTTGATAGGGTTGTTGTGATCAAACAATTTACCATGGTCAATTAACTATATAAAAATATCAACAGTATTGTATGGTCGATACATGGACAGTGGTCACTCGTCGTAAAAAACAACCTTGGTCAGATAAGAGAATGGCGATATGCGTCAGTTTAGGATTTATTATGGTGTTTTCTTCAATTCAATTATTGTAAGAAATGTGCGCCGAAAAATAACATATAGGGTTTCAAGGACAGCATCAAAGAAAACGTCATAAATAGCGTCATATAAATTGACGTTACTAAAGTTGGTCCGTCTGATTATCCAGTAAGTATAGGAATTCTTGAACACACGTGGTAAGTTCCAGATTTTACTGATATTTCTCTCAGAAACTGTAGCTATTGTCTTCGTACCTTGTTGGTAAATTAAATGTTACCAATTATTGTTATGTGAACTGATAAATTGACATGTGAATTTGCATCGATAAAAAACATTCGCATGAATTAACACTTTGTCTTGGTTGGTATTTTTATGAGACATTCTCTACTAATTTGAAGCTGATAGAAAATAGACCTGTTTTATGTGATATTTGTATAGCTCTGTAGAATCCCGAAGTTTGTGAGTACTTTTTGATCTGACGTATATTGATTTTGTTCTTTGCACCTGAAATCATCTGCCAAGGGCATCAAGTTTGTATCGCTTAGTACATATATATAAATTATATACATGAATTATGACAACCAGATAATGGCGTATAGTGATATCATTATACTAATATTATTTTAGTCTTTCTGTCGATCATGAATTAAAAAACCCTGTTTTAAAGCGATTGTTCAACGAAATAAAACAATTTATGACCTTGGTTTGCACAATGCCTTTGTTTGATTAACAGTCAATATTTCACTGACTGTGGCACTTACGAAACCTGGAAACTGTTCTCAGGCGAAGAGGTTGATAAGGAGAGCTATGAAAAGTATTTCACAAGCTTAATTTCCGCATACCAATCGTTTTATTGAAGAAACTAAAAATAAAGTTTGAAATTCTGGTTATATGAAAGAATGAAAGTTCATAGCCACATGTCAAACTAAATATTTAAGATTTGTTGTACATTCCCAGACAGATTGTCTCATTTGATTTGTTAATTCGTGAATTATAGATAGACATCGTTCTACTGATGATTATAATAACATTATGACGTACACGGTATAGACTGTACGATATTGTTGCAGATTAGTTCATTAAATGTACATTTTATTCAAAAAACATACATGCTATATGACGGAATATCAAAAGTAAGCGTATAGATATGACAGTCCTTTATAATTTATCTTCTAGAAATAACATTACATTTTGAGCCAAAGACAATATTTTCGAAAGGCTAGAATTATGCTGGACCGATTGTATACACAGATTGTCGTTGCTTGAAAAGCTGAAACATACCGAAATTTCTAAATACCAATTATATACTTGACGAGGTATAAATGAAGAAGATATACCTTTAATATTGTATGTATAAATAATTTCGTGGATAATAATTTATAATAACATAAGTCAGAAGAGATTAAAATGTAATGTAATTTAATACGCGTATTGTTTAACTATAATGGCCGTCTTGAATTAGTCTGGATATGACATACATATACTATGATTTTTTAACATTACCGGAATAAACATATTGAAAGTAAGTTTTTTTTTATTATTTCTGATTATTCCAATTTTTTTTTTATTTCAATTATTTTACTAGATTGGGATTCCCCTTGTTTTCATGTTAAGAAAATACAATCAAAGTTGATGTACGCGCCAAATATTGAAAAGACTTTCTTTAAATGGGGCAAAACTATGGACAAGGCTTGATATAAGTTGTTGGCTTGTGTTGTAGAATGACAAATAAGCACTTCTGTCAATGATGTAAAAAGATCATGCTTAATTGTTTTGAAACACCTGAGTGTACTTCTCGTTTGAGGAGTTCACTGCTATACATCTATTGCTTGAGATAAATTGAGATTTTTATGTAACGGAATTGTTTTGCTTGTACTGATTTTTATTTTATGTTAAATGTGAGTAAAATTAGGTGAAGTTGGTGATTAATACTACCTGGTAGTCATTAGTATTCAAGACCTGTATTTAAGTATCATTAATTCCACTATACATAGGTTGAATATTGAACCAAGTTTCAAATTACCACAATATTTTGTTACCTTAGAAGCTACCGACTGTTATCAATGACTTTGTTTTTCATTAATGGAAATCAAACCATCAAGGGTGTCTTGACCACTTTCCCTGACATTATGTAAAGGATAAGATATCAGTAAACAATAGAACCATATAAATCTGTTTTATACTGGGAATGGTTTCAGGTCAGGTAGCAGACCCATTGGATTTATCTGGAATATTTTTTAGAATTTATCATTGAAAGGTAGGCCTGTGTGATTTAAAAGGACAGGTGGGTCATTCATTTCTCCAATCGTACCATAGTCACGGAAACGGGAATTATTTAGCTTAGCCAATCTGTAATAGTGTGTTCACAGCTCAATGTCGAAATTTGAGCCTTCAAATCCATGTGTGGCCAGAAATATGAAATTTGAAAGATAAAAAGTCAAGTCGACATATTTTTGAAGGAATTATGTGACTTTCGTACATTTCTAGTACTTCTGACGACTATTTATGTATTTTCAAGATTCAAATCAACCTTCCAAAATGGCGAATCAGTCCCTTTAACCCGTTGGTCTAAAGTGTCATATGAATTGTAACAAACATGTATTGTTTTACCAAATTCTAAGATGAAATTTTGTTAGAAAACAATAGACACGTTAATTAAAAAAAAGGTCGATAGAAAAGAAGGTCTGTTACATATGATAATCCTCATTATTATGATACAACATAGTGTTAGTCACGACTTTGTTACATAAAATAAGGGAAATTTGTAATTTTATAGAATTAATCGGGTAAATTTGATATATATTGTTACAGGTTTACAAGTGACATTTCAGAATAATACAAAACCCTCATTCTTTGGTGCTTTTGGGACACGTTCTTTGCATAGTTTCTTCGATGTTTCTTGATTTCCCAGTTTATTTTACATTTGTGTTTCCGATTGTTGTACGAACTTGCAGCAGATTTTGTGTGAGTACTGTGAACATACAAGAGCATATGTCATTGAATTATTGATTTTATTAATCTTGCTTTAAATTTCGTGTTCCAATTGTACATAGCTCTAATCTGGTGTGACCTTTAACCTCAGACCACGAATGAGTGCAATATAACTAATACTCCTTATTGAAATACAACAACAGCAGTACACATAGCTTTTATTATGAGTAAAGATAATATTTTCATAAATAATTCTGTCGTGAATATAATGCATATAATAGATGTATTGATAAGACATGTTGATATGGGGACAGGTAAACTTTAAGGGGGTCCATGGACATTCCATAAAGGCTTTTTGTGCACTGTATTCAATATGGTACCCGTACAATGTGAAAGTAAAGGTGATTTATTAATCTTATCACAACGTATATACTTTCGTTTAATAAATAATTTGATTTATTTTTTTATGTAGTACAGCCTGTGTATTGGTACTATACATGTTCTCAGTAGGTTGCTACAAACGGCGTAATACATTCTCAGTAGGTTGTTACAGTGTAATAATTTCTCTGTAGGTTGCTACACACAGTGACATATATTCATAGAGAGTTGTTACACACAGTGACATATATCCTCAGAGGGTTGTTACACACAGTGACATATATCCTCAGAGGGTTGTTACACACAGTGACATATATCCTCAGAGGGTTGTTACACACAGTGACATATATCCTCAGAGGGTTGTTACACACAGTGACATATATTCTCAGAGGGTTGTTACACACAGTGACATATATCCTCAGACGGTTGTTACACACAGTGACATATATCCTCAGAGGGTTGTTACACACAGTGACATATATCCTCAGAGGGTTGTTACACACAGTGACATATATCCTCAGAGGGTTGTTACACACAGTGACATATATCCTTAGAGGGTTGTTATACACAGTGACATATATCCTCAAAGGGTTGTTACACACAGTGTAATATATTCTCAGTAGACTGTTACAAACAGTGTTATATATCCTCAGAAAGTTTTTACAAACAATGTGATATATATATATATCCTCAGTAATATATCCTTATTGATTGTTAATATGAAAACTACTATGCCCTCACTATAGACTGATAAAGCGATCTAGTGTACTGTTTTAGTGGCGGTGGAAACTGGGGGTACAAAAAGGTGGCAGACTGACTCAAAAAATAAATTGATTTGGTGCATTCTGGCACAATTGGGTGTGCAAACCACAAAGCCCCTGTACCCCACATTGGCGCCGCCACCGCACTGTTTCAAATCCAAATTCAAATTCATCATGAATTCATATCATTTCAGGAATTTTCATTGAAATCAGAAATTCTGAAAGTTTATTAAAGATGTTTTGGTATGATACCCAGTATAAACACGCAGAAGAAGCACGGCAAAGAAACAAACGAGAAGATCGGAAGTTGAAGATAGAAATCGAAAGTAAAAATGGGATGCGTTCTGCTCTTAAAACAGAGATGGATGCTGTTTCCAAGGAACAGAGGCGTATCAAACGTGAACTGGACAGAATAAGGAAGAGTAGTATGGGACCCAATAACGTATTCAATGGATCACCGAGGCGGCTACAATCAAAGTTATACTTTCATGGAAAGAAAGCACCGAAGCGAAAGATTGGAAGAGTCGATCCTTTAAATTTCTTTCAAAACGAATACTTACACGAGGACAATATCACGGAGAGTGAGTTAATGCGGTCTATTATGTTAATAAATTGTGACTCGAACAGTAAAGAAAATAATGAAATGTTTAAGAAAGGACAATTTAATGACTTAACAACCAATAGTGAATCAACTTATATTACCCAACAACAAAACTCATTGTCCAATTATGATTCGACTGATTTGAATAATTACAATAGTTCAAGTATACAAAGTATACAAAGTGTACGAAGTGACGAAAGGGAAGAAATTCAGTCACTTACTGATAATACAGTGTTAGTTAATCTCTTATCACCTTCGTCAGTAAATAATTCACCTGTACAGATTACTGTAGAGTCTACAGAGGAACAAGACGTGATCACCCAGCTACCAAGTGATTGTTATTCGAACGTTGATTCAGAAACTTCTAGATCAAGTGTCGACAGTAATCTTTCAAAACGTCGTCATAAAAGTTTGGATTTATCACAACTGGCTACTCTCGATATGAAATCTGTGAAATCAGACGTAACTCGTAGACTTTCAGGATCAACAGCTCCGTCAAAATCGCAGCTTGAGAGAAGACGTGTTTCAGATGGAACTGTAGCCTTATCAAAACCACCTTCTAAGCAACTACAAGCTCAAAGGAGGACCTCAGATGGACACGTATTGGCTTCAACATCGTCACCTGTGAAAAATGAAACCTCGAGGACCAAACCGGAAGAAGACGAAGAATCGAGGCCAGTCACTAACGCAGAAGAAGAAAATGTAGAGCGAGTGTTGCCTAAGCGAATTATCAAACATGCTAAAGACATTCCTCAACCTCTGAACTATAATCCGGAATATTACAACCCAGATGGATCTTTAAGAGCAAAATGGACACTTCCGGATCCAGATTCAGCATGGGAAGCCGCTAAAAATGCCAGATATATCAGAACATCTGATCGACGTGACAGTGAAATAGAACTCAGTGTTAATGATATCTTCAAATAAGACGATCATCATCAACGTTACATTCTATCCATCCATGTTTTTGTTCTATCATTATCCATTCAATGAAACCGTCCAGATTGATATGTATGTTCTTTTTGTGGACTATTTAGGAAATGTGATCGAACGAGGACACTCTAGACACCAGGCTATTCGAATTGGATTATGTGATATTTGTAAATAGATACTGAATAATTTAAAAGGAATATTCTGGAAGACAATTCCCTCCTTCGTACCTTATAGAGGTCAGTTTGCTCCTCGGCATTAAATGGATGAGACGAAAATGATTTTCAGAGCTTGTTATACTGGCGCTTAAGTTTCTGAAATATATTCAAAGGATGAAGATTGTATCCAGGAAGATTGAATGAGTACTCTCTGAAAGTTTGCCTTTTAAGTTGTCGAAAAGATGCTTTTTATTTGTATTGGGGCTATTTATGACGTCTAATTGACAATTAGAATGGAGCAAATCGGTGCTATCGGCGTTTCAGATACAGAAAAATTTCGAAAACCCCTTTACCCTCCCTTTAACTCAATTACTTCAAACAGGTACTTGTTTAATTGTTGTATTATTGTCAATATCTATTTATCAAAATATTTTTTATATACCGATAGTTCTACAGGTTGTAAGTGCATTCTTAGTTTGATCTTTATGTGAGTGACAACCATTATTAATGTGATATTTGTATATATATTTCAATTCAGTATTTTTTTGTATAGATATAACCCATTGTATAGTGTTCGTATTAAAGGGTATGTGTGTTTGCTGGTCTCATAGAGAGTCACCACATAGTATGGGTTTCTGTTCTTATTCTAAATTCAACTTTGGTTTATCCATCAATGGTTTTACTTACTGTATTTTTTTTTACCTTTAATTGTGACTTTTTCAATTATATCCTGTAAATTGACGCACATTTAGGGTACATGAATGTAGGTCAAAAATATTTCTTGTTATAGTAGTTCTTAGAGCTTGACCCACATTTCGTCTAGATTATTTTATAAATCTCATCTAATGACTTTGTGCAAATGCATTTGTCTAACAATATTCTCTTTAAAGGGATTGCAAAGAGGTTTTCAAAACTTTTCAAACAAATCGGGGACACAGGTAGCATCGAATAGCACCATTTCAGTCAGGTATCTGTGGGTCTGTCATTCCACTAAAACCTTTTATGACATAGCTATCGCAAAGAACCTTCGATATTACAGGATCCACAGACATCTGATCGACAATTGGAATGGTACACATACAAGCCATAAATGGCCCCGATACATATGTAGAAATATAGAAAAGTCTTTACAATCCCTTTAAAGTGTTATCTTTAAGCATGTGATAATTTCAATTTAGTCAGAACTTGAAGATCAAAGTTATAACGTCTTGATAGATTAAATTCTAATCTAAAAGGAATTTTTATGTTGTGTAAACAAAAGATCTTGTTTTATAGTTTATCATGTTGGTAATATATAGAAATGTAGATTCATTCTGTACATTATTTCAATACCATTTATTATCCATAATAAAACTTAGATATTACTGTATACTTAATAACTTTAAACATTCGCCCGAAATACTCTCATAAAAGTTGATTCCATTCGTATGGGTCACAATATCATCATCAGGTCAAAATCGACAGAACTTGTGACGACAATATACACCCAAATTCGTGTGGGGCTATAAAGAAAGATCGATCAGAGAGATCCATGTGACTAGGAAGGGTAACCTGGTAACCTTAAGTTATAATTTGGTGGGCCTGGTGACCCTGAGTATTCACGGTAGGCCCATAATGAAAGACAAGATGATTTAACAGATTGTCAGAATGAAAGTTTTGCGTTTGTTTTAATTGTATTTGACTTGCAGCCACCGCTTGTGTTTAGATATTGACACATCTTCATGGCAAGGTTAACCTTCTTCAAAAAGCATCCCTTTTTCAACTCAAATAATCGTTTAAAGTTAAAGTTGTAAAACCAGAATCAAGTAGAGGTTGAAGTACTACTGTATCCAGAAATCATAATGCTGCAGATGAAAGAAAACACGTTTTTCATATAATATTTTATGTAAATACCTGGGTTCAATTATAACAATATTTTTATAGGGAAATTCAGCCTATTATTACCAAGACTGAAGCCCTTCTTGTTATAGGCGAATATGGCATATCAAAAAAATAGACAACAAGCTTTGCATTTAATAAATAAATCACAGGATCTTAAATGTAAATATCCAGTTGCATCAAAATACATTGTATTGATTATCAGAGAAGAGTTATGTCCCTTATAACAGAGTAAATAAATCCCATAAAAAGCCTTTGACTATCGAAAACAATCTGTTCATTATAATCCATACAGATAAGTATCAGGTATCTTAGACCTTGAAAAGTTTAGTACGAACCACATGAAACATTACCTTAGCATCATGTCTTATATCACATGATACATCTTATACCTAAGTAATGTTAATGCTATCACAAGAAATGTTACCTAACACATGGCACGTTCTGTATCCTATGAAACATCTAATATCACGATCACATATCACATTTTGCATTATCTGAATTTTAACACCTGAACAAAGAAAGTTTTTGTATTTAAAGTAATAATTTTAATAGGAAAGACAGGAAGACCAAAACCTTCTCCCATAGTGCTCCTTCATCTCTGTGTAATCATAACCTTGTAATCATCAACTTGCTCTCCTGACTGGTTGGTACTTTCACTGTTTATTGCTTGTTGTTCTGAAAATGTTTTCTTTCTTCTAAACATCACTTTACTACCTGGCTTTACTTGAAGATCTAAATGCTGAAAATAAAAACGGATTGTGTTATTTCTGGTAAATATGCAATAAGTTGAATAAACATAAGAAAAAGTTTCCTTCTTCATGACACCTTGGATCAGGACAAGTTGAGCAAGGGTGAATTCTTCATCTCTATTTGTAGCTCTGTATACTTTTGTAAGATCCTGAAACCAGGTAGAAACGATCAAAAAGTCGTGATTATACCCACAGACAACATTACATAGTATACTTTCACCGGTGAAGCTTACATTCACTATTTATAGCCATAAATTACTTCCAACTTTTTCAAATTAATAAGACGACGGAAGTAACTCTGATTGTAGAATCCAGAAAAATATACTGTAAATCACGGAAATGTCTGTGATTACCAAATAAAGAATAAATAGGTCGCGGTAAGATCCTTGCAATTTTTATTTAATGCTTCTTACCTCTAAATTGAGTCTTTTTAAGGTAGCTATCTGAGATCCGCTCTTGGGATTATCAACACTTAACCAATCTCTTATTTTATCTTCAAGTAATTTACGTTCTTCGTCATGTTCTGCTTTCTTCTCAAAATATTCTAAAACAGAAATTATTGTCAATCATTGGGTAAAGAGAAATGAAAAGGCTATAAAATATGGAACCAGTCAGATAACTTTATATTTCGAAATCCCTCAAATATCAAATTTACTGAGTTTATTTTGATATTTTCCCGAATCGCATTGGCTAAAATTTAACAAAACTAATTTGTAAGTGAACATGAACGAATTGCCTCCCCTTCCTCGTGAATTTAATTTCACAAGGAATAGGTTGTCCTTGAATATAATGACAATAACCATCCTGTATATGTAAACTGATGATTCATTCGGCAATTCTTGGGCACTTCAGTAAATCTGAAACTACCTCGGTAATAAATGGAAAATTTCTGTACGTGTTCTGGGGGAGCTTTTATACTTCCGGCATTTTAAATATGAATGTAGACAAGCCGCGGTGGAATTTTCATGGTAGACCGATATGAGAGTAGGGCATGCGATTCTGACTAGATATACATACCCATTGCTTCCGGTGAATGATTTCCATCATAATCTTCATCATCTAAAAACTGAACATACCCACCACCACCACCATCAGCTCGAGGTGTTGGACTATATACTGATTGGTTAGATTTCATATCATGAGATTTGGCACTGGTCGGTCGTTGTCCATGAGCACTTTCAACAGCATTAGATGCCTGATATCTGGATTTTAGAAGTTGCTGCATTCCTCCCTGGATCTGTTGTCGGTCGATGTCCTTCATTCGTTGATGTTTCAACAGTTCTTTTGTTTTCTCTTTTCTGACGCGGATCAGTTGAAACACGCTCCCTGGTCCAAATATATCAATTAAAGGCCCTTTGTGATTAAGAAATTCCTTTTCGGCTTCAGCTACAGTTAAATCTTTAAAATCTCTGTCTCTCTCTACAGGTTGAAGGGGTTTGTATCTGTCGTCTATTTTATCAATAAGATATGATAGAAGTGGTATTTCATCTTTATTTTTCAGTAACGATAAGCGAGTTTTAAGTTTAACATGGAGTTGGTCTATCATTCTCTCTACAGTTTTTGGATGTCTTTTCACAAACAATCGCTCAAAATGTTTGAGTTCTAAAACTAAGACTTCTGTTTTCTCTTTACATACTGCAGTCTGCATGTAAGTATCTTGTTCCATCAATACTTCTACATCACCTGAAACAGTAATACATACAGGAATAGTTAGAACTATAGTTTCCTGAAGCTGTGATCAACTACTTACCGGCTCACATCTATATTCAGAATTATCAAGATAACATGGCATCATAATTTCAACAGCACAGCTTTAAATAGGCATTGTTCATTTAATTCACTATTACCAAGATAACATAGCTTCAGACTTGACATTTTACATTCACTATTACCCAGATAACATAGCTTCAGACTTGACATTGTACATTCACTATTACCAGATAACATAGCTTCAGGCTTGACATTTTACATTCACTATTACCCAGATAACATAGCTTCAGACTTGACATTGTACATTCACTATTACCAGATAACATAGCTTCAGACTTGACATTTTACATTCATTATTACCCAGATAACATAGCTTCAGACTTTACATTTTACATTCACTATTACCAAGATAACATAGCTTCAGACTTGACATTTTACATTCACTATTACCCAGATAACATAGCTTCAGACTTGACATTTTACATTCACTATTACCCAGATAACATAGCTTCAGACTTGACATTGTACATTCACTATTACCCAGATAACATAGCTTCAAACTTGACATTGTACATTCACTATTACCCAGATAACATAGCTTCAGACTTGACATTGTACATTCACTATTACCCAGATAAAACATAGATTCAGACTTGACATTGTACATTCACTATTACCCAGATAACATAGCTTCAGACTTGACATTGTACATTCACTATTACCAAATAACATAGCTTCAGACTTGACATTGTACATTCACTATTACCCAGATAACATAGCTTCAGACTTGACATTGTACATTCACTATTACCAGATAACATAGCTTCAGACTTGACATTGTACATTCACTATTACCAGATAACATAGCTTCAGACTTGACATTGTACATTCACTATTACCCAGATAACATAGCTTCAGACTTGACATTGTACATTCACTATTACCAGATAACATAGCTTCAGACTTGACATTGTACATTCACTATTACCAGATAACATAGCTTCAGACTTGACATTGTACATTCACTATTACCCAGATAACATAGCTTCAGACTTGACATTGTACATTCACTATTACCAGATAACATAGCTTCAGACTTGACATTGTACATTCACTATTACCAGATAACATAGCTTCAGACTTGACATTGTACATTCACTTTTACCCAGATAACATAGCTTCAGACTTGACATTGTACATTCACTATTACCCAGATAACATAGCTTCAGACTTGACATTGTACATTCACTATTACCCAGATAACATAGCTTCAGACTTGACATTGTACATTCACTATTACCCAGATAACATAGCTTCAGACTTGACATTGTACCTTCACTATTACCCAGATAACATAGCTTCAGACTTGACAGTGTAGAAGATTTGTACTTACCTACACATTCATTAATACCAAGATAACATAGTTTCATTGTTTTTGGATTATCTCTACGTTTGATATGACTTGAATAATGAACGTCAGTAGGAGGTCGTATTTTATCAACTTTTCGTATTAATCTAGAAATAAAGTATAGTATAGTTGATAAAATAGGCTTTAGATAAATAAAGTCTGAAGAAATATTAGAGATAAAAATGAAATGAGGATTTTAAGAGAAAAGTGAAAATAATGCAAATACAACAACATACACCTGTACATTGTATCTCAAATTTAAAAGCGTTCCTTTTCTGCATCAAAGTAAAACTTTTCGTTTTAAAAATTGGGGCTTTTAGAAGCTTCAGCTTATTTTTTGAAAATGATATTTGAGAATATTATTTTATTTCTAATATTGATCTACTCACCTTTCTGCCTCATTTTGATTAGCATCGTAGAATATTTTAGGATATTGTGATGGATGTAGGGAAGGATCTATTTGGATTTCAACCTGACCACTGGAATATAATATAATATATATATATAATATCATGGTTTGGTTTCATTAACATCTTTATGGAGAATGGGGGATAAGAAGCCATTGAATTATTCTGGTCAAGTCAGCATTTGACTGAGTCTAATCGGGGATGCTTTGGAAAAAGTCACTTTTTTTATTGCAAAAACTACTTCATGTTTTAGATCTTAAAGGGTGTGTAAAGAGGTTTATGATTTATGTGCATTGACTTCTATTGTACCATCCAGATATGTATTTTTCTAAATTTAGAAAGGCTAAACCGTCGCCTTCTAAAATATCGTAGTCACGTCATAAAGCGCTTAGTTTCAAAGCCCTAGTTGTGACAACTCATTTTCAGGCGCCATTTTAGATCCCAACGTCATAACATTCGGCTTTGCTTAGTTTCAGAGGAATTTCAAAAGGTTTGACTTAAAAGGGGATTATCAGTGCACCCTATAGATAATCTTCTATACAATCCATTTAAAAATACCTGTCTTAACCATTTGACTTACCTTAAAATAATATAGATAATATTGACAGGGTCTCCTTGTCGAACTAAAATACTATCATAGCTGAATGTTTTAGTATAAAGAGCCATAGATAGTTGTTGACGATATTTGGGTGCCCAAGCTCTATATAAATTGTCATTCTGGATAAACTCTGATTTTTTCTTCTTCTCCTGAACTAAAACGTCTTTAACAGATCTGGTGTACAGATCGCGATCTATAACTAACAAGTCCGTTACATCTTCAGAGATCATAGAAGCTGTTCTGGCTTTACCTTCTTCTTCTAGAGCAACCTCTCCTACCTGAACACCCGCTTCTATAAAACACAATAATAAATAAAATACATGTACATCTGAAGGTAGTAAGGAAGGAATATCATCCACTGTACATATGAGAAAACTACACCAAACCTAGTTACAGATAGTAACAGCTGATTCACCGAGGACATTCTAGAGGGGCGTAAGGCACGGGGACACTTGGGCGGAAATGAATCAACTCTGGGCTGGAGGTTCACAAGCAGATGTCTACAATAAAATTCTTGAGGAGGCATATGCTAACTACTCGTTTACGAATTGATTCTGTATAGATCAATGGACTGTTTTGGGATAGTCGATGAGTTTTCTGGTTTGAAAGCAGCAAGGGCAGATGTTGCCTGACATGTAATTACAATTTTTATTTTTACCAAAATGTGATGCTGGCATAAAGACTAGTAATATAAATGGGAGATTTGTTGGTATAAAAATGCAAGAAGAGGTTTAACAACTTACTAAGAATGACAGCCAGATTTCCAAGTTTACTCTTGTCCAGTTTACCATCTTTATAAACAAACTGTACCTCGACTTCATTCTTTTCTTCATCAATATCTTTATCTTTATTTAATATATAGATTCCTATCTTCCCTCCCAATATTATATAACAACTGTAATATATAAAGATACAGAGATTCTTATTTAACATTTACTGTATCTTTATTTAATATATAGATTCCTATCTTCCCTCCCAATATTATATATATAACAACTGTAATATATAAAGATACAGAGATTCTTATTTAACATTTACTGTATCTTTATTTAATATATAGATTCCTATCTTCCCTCCCAATATTATATAACAACTGTAATATATAAAGATACAGAGATTCTTATTTAACATTTACTGTATCTTTATTTAATATATAGATTCCTATCTTCCCTCCCAATATTATATAACAACTGTAATATATAAAGATACAGAGATTCCCATTTAACATTTACTGTATCATTATTTAATATATAGATTCCTATCTTTCCTCCCAATATTATATAACAACTGTAATATATAAAGATACAGAGATTCCCATTTAACATTTACTGTATCTTTATTTAATATATAGATTCCTATCTTCCCTCCCAATATTATATAACAACTGTAATATATAAAGATACAGAGATTCCCATTTAACATTTACTGTATCTTTATTTAATATATAGATTCCTATCTTCCCTCCCAATATTATATAACAACTGTAATATAGAAAGATACAGAGATTCTTATTTAACATTTACTGTATCTTTATATAATATATAGATTCCCATCTTCCCTCCCAATATTATATAACAACTGTAATATATAAAGATACAGAGATTCTTATTTAACATTTACTGTATATTTATTTAATATAGAGATTCCTATCTTCCCTCCCAATATTATATAACAACTGTATTATATAAAGATACAGAGATTCTCATTTAACATTTACTGTATATTTATTTAATATATAGATTCCTATCTTCCCTCCCAATATTATATAACAACTGTAATATATAAAGATACAGAGATCCTTATTTAACATTTACTGTATATTTATTTAATATATAGATTCCTATCTTCCCTCACAATATTATATAACAACTGTAATATATAAAGATACAGAGATTCTCATTTAACATTTACTGTATATTTATATAATATATAGATTCCCATCTTCCCTCCCAATATTATATAACAACTGTAATATATAAAGATACAGAGATTCTTATTTAACATTTACTGTATATTTATTTAATATAGAGATTCCTATCTTCCCTCCCAATATTCTATAACAACTGTAATATATAAAGATACAGAGATTCTTATTTAACATTTACTGTATCTTTATTTAATATATAGATTCCTATCTTCCCTCGCAATATTATATAACAACTGTAATATATAAAGATACAGATATTCTCATTTAACATTTACTGTATCTTTATTTAATATATAGATTCCCATCTTCCATCCCAATATTATATAACAACTGTAATATATAAAGATACAGAGATTCTCATTTAACATTTACTGTATCTTTATTCAATAAATAGATTCCTATCTTCCCTCCCAATATTATATAACAACTGTAATATATAAAGATACAGAGATCCTAATTTAACATTTACTGTATCTTTACTTAATATATAGATTCCTATCTTCCCTCACAATATTATATAACAACTGTAATATATAAAGATACAGAGATTCTTATTTAACATTTACTGTATATTTATTTAATATAGAGATTCCTATCTTCCCTCTCAATATTATATAACAACTGTAATATATAAAGATACAGAGATTCTCATTTAACATTTACTGTATATTTATTTAATATATAGATTCCTATCTTCCCTCCCAATATTATATAACAACTGTAATATATAAAGATTCAGAGATTCTTATTTAACATTTACTGTATATTTATTTAATATAGAGATTCCTATCTTCCCTCCCAATATTATATAACAACTATAATATATAAAGATACAGAGATTCTCATTTAACATTTACTGTATATTTATTTAATAAAGAGATTCCTATCTTCCCTCCCAATATTATAAAACAACTGTAATATATAACGATACAGAGATCCTTATTTAACATTTACTGTATCTTTATTTAATATATAGATTCCTATCTTCCCTCGCAATATTATATAACAACTGTAATATATAAAGATACAGAGATTCTTATTTAACATTTAATGTATCTTTATATAATATATAAATTCCCATCTTCCCTCCCAATATTATATAACAACTGTAATATATAAAGATACAGAGATTCTCATTTAACATTTACTGTATATTTATTTAATATAGAGATTCCTATCTTCGCTCCAAATATTATATAACAACTGTAATATATAAAGATACAGAGATCCTTATTTAACATTTACTGTATCTTTACTTAATATATAGATTCCTATCTTCCCTCACAATATTATATAACAACTGTAATATATAAAGATACAGAGATCCTTATTTAACATTTACTGTATCTTTACTTAATATATAGATTCCTATCTTCCCTCCCAATATTATATAACAACTGTAATATATAAAGATACAGAGATTCTCATTTAACATTTACTGTATCTTTATTTAATATATAGATTCCTATCTTCCCTCCCAATATTATATAACAACTGTAATATAGAAAGATACAGAGATTCTTATTTAACATTTACTGTATCTTTATTTAATATATAGATTCCTATCTTCCCTCCCAATATTATATAACAACTGTAATATAGAAAGATACAGAGATTCTCATTTAACAGTTACTGTATCTTTATTTAATATATAGATTCCTATCTTCCCTCCCAATATTATATAACAACTGTAATATAGAAAGATACAGAGATTCTCATTTAACAGTTACTGTATCTTTATTTAATATATAGATTCCTATCTTCCCTCCCAATATTATATAACAACTGTAATATATAAAGATACAGAGATTCTTATTTAACAGTTACTGTATCTTTATTTAATATATAGATTCCCATCTTCCCTCACAATATTATATAACAACTGTAATATATAAAGATACAGAGATTCTCATTTAACAGTTACTGTATCTTTATTTAATATATAGATTCCTATCTTCCCTCCCAATATCATACAATAATTGAATATTATAAGGTAAATTTGATTTCTGAGCGAAACAGATAAAGCTTAACTCACACTACCCGTTCTTAGCAACTAAACGTTCCAATATCACATCTCGTTTTGTCACGTCCAAAGAACTGACAAGACCAGATTTGTCGGGCTGTGTATAATGATTGAATCGGTTTACTCAACTTCATATTTCAACTTTATTTGTTGATTATATACTTGAGACCTGACTCTTTGGGTTAAGGCATTCTGGATGTCACCTTACTTACCAGTCTCCAACTTCGCCTTGTTTACAGATGATATCATCAACATACTTTCTTTCATATCGACAGTTCTTTATCAGATCTTTTAATGACTCTGAAAGTATAAAACATTCGAATGCTACAATATATTCTTGACTCTCATCAGGACAACTGGATGAAACACCCGATCCTGTTCGTTTTCACTGCCAGTAGCATACATGAACCACAGATTCTAGAACTCTGGTAGCTAAGATACGCGATGGGTTAAAAGGAGAGTTGAAATATTGATTTCAACAATATTTATCATTCATGATTTACAAATGTACATAGATAGACAATGGTTTCAGAAACAAGCCGAAGCTTACAGTTATCCATTACTCAGATTTTCAATAATTTAACTTTTTGGACGACTTATGTGCAATGTGAGCTCATACTTCTGCTTGTGGCGGAGCATATACTAATTAGTAATATTAGTTCCAAGTGAATATTGACACGTTAGTTTGGCCCTCTAACTAGATATAAATTAACGTGATATTTGACCCTGTTCGTGAGACGTACAATAAAATAGTCAATAGAAAAGTTCAAGCTATTTAGTCAGATCATACAATAACTCCATTCACATATTACTTACTAATTCAAGTTGAGACAAAACCATCTTTTGTTTCTTTATAGTTTTTATCAATATAAACTTGGCTTTTCTTAACTTATTTCCCTTTACATGGCTATGTTCGTCAAAACACAGGTTGTACTAACTGTTACTGCTCATTTTAAGAATTGAATCGTATTATATTTCAGAAATAAAATTCATCGTCTTGTTTTCCAACTATCAACAAAAGCGTACAATTTACATTTACAGAACATTATTTATACCCCCTGAAGATGTACCGATATCAAGATATCACCAATCCTCACTACCATTGGGAATGTTAATAACTGACTGAAGTGACAGAAGTTATACGTTGGGCAGTATGCACTGGGGGACATTTAGCCTTTTATCGCCGTTAGCTCTGCTCTATTTCGATTCCAACTGTGTAAGGACCTAAAATGTACAGTACAGCATGTAGCACATGGAGCCTTGGTTCATTGTCCCATTCGAAACGCTTGACACTTTTTCCATGCAAGATCTCCCGACCCGCAGTGAACACAATAGAGATATATTATATACTATAGATAGATTAATGACTGACGTATGCTTTAAGGGTGGAGAAAATATTTATATCTAATCAGTTTTTTTTTAAATTTTGTGACATGCACACCTCTCATAATAATATGATGTTTACACAATCATTCAACATTGATAAGTTATGGTACTTTATAGGACAAAGTTATAAATTTATATCTAATGTATAATAAATTTATAATTATGTAAATATTATAATAATTTCTGTCAGGTTTATAACCCCATTATAAAACATAATCTCCATTAAATATATCTTAAATTTATATCTACTGTATTTTGACGTAATGAACTCGTTTTCTTGGGTTTATTTGTGTGGCATTCAACTTTATATTAACGATGAAATCATTTGAAATCGAATGTGTCTCATCTGAAAAAATGATGCCCTGAAAGCGTACTGCACGCAAAGCTTGTCCTCCCAGTGTCAACGCCTGTTTCTGTCCGAATCACACACGATTACAGGGAATGACCACAGTTTTGTTAACGATGAATTCATTTTAAGGATGTGGATTGGATCAAGTATATTCTGGAGAATTTAATGAATAGTTCAAATATTATCTTAGAAGTCTCTCGATTCCAATGTCACGAAAGTTCATGGTCAGATTGGCATTCAATGGTGAATAATAGTCATCAATCAGAACTTCAGAAGTAGGTTCTGACTATAGACCATTATATTGTGTAATTACAGAACATACGTAAATCGCCAATCATTTGTCAATAACGACACTTAAAAACGTAATTATGATCACAGAAATCTAGTTCTGTTTCTTGGTGCTAAAACAGTCATAATTTGCAAGACGAAAATATAGTAAAAGCATTGTTAAATAAAGACCTGTGTTTAGTATGAAGCACCCTTTGTTAACTGAATAATAAATTTTTTGAGATTTCGTGATGAAAGTTATGGTATATTTCATTTCCACTTGCTAACACAATAAGCATATCATATACATGTATCAGAAACTGTTTTTCAGTCAAATGGAAAATTCAATTTGCTCCGTCGTACCGTTTGCTGTTTTCAGGTCTAGTTTTTCCAGCTGATAATCCTAATGTAATGCCATGTTATTACAAAAACTGATGGTAATATACTAAAGTCTGTACATTATATTATCAAATTTTCAAATTATTCAATCAGATGTTCTAAAAGCGATAACCACAATAATATAAAAACTGTACAACAATACATGTTGATAATACGTGTTGAATCATACGTTATTAGAACTTTCCCTGTAAATATAACATATAGAACTATCTTGATTAATGAGAGGAAATATAAACATGATTAGAAATACAATAATTAGTCTTAATTACTGTTATATTATCACAAATTATCACTTATATCTGTCAGTCAATATTGGAAATATAATATTTTGATTTATCTGTCTTCAGCTCTACGGTTGCATTTGATTGTCAATATTATCGGTTATTTTGGTTATCGACTCATTATGGTCATGAGTAGGTGATAAAAAAAGTGGTGAAAATTTGTTTCGAAGGGCTAGGCCCCAATGCCTTACTGATCGTGAGAATACTACTTCCGAGCCAGACAGACAGTTGTCCTAATCTTACCAGTACAAGATTTTCTCATCGGGTTTTTATCGTGTTTTCAATGAATTCGAAGGGGCAAACAAAAATCGTTCAAATTCGAGTCTTAGAGCCCACAACTCCCCTGGGTTCCTGGACTATGTCTCGTAGGCCGACCCATCATGATAAGCTAAAGGCTATCGAGACACTTTTCCACCACCCAAATATAAGCCGAGGTCAAGAGTACTTCAGGAGAAAACGATTTTTATGCCTCATAACAACACTGGCATGTTTATTAAAGAAGTTTTAATATCTATGAAGATTAAAGAGTTTAAGAGTATATTTCAAAGACTTAATATTTTATTGTGGTATTTTAAACCTCTTCACTTTTAAAGAGAAGATAACTATACGTAACACTTTTTTGATAATAAAAATGACATTACCCAACAATATTGCAATTTTTTTTAAGACAAAGCTGAAACACCTTCAAATAAATATTGCAGAGCCTTTGGAAAAACAGGCCCGGACACGATGTGGATACCATTAGCTTTATTTCTACTGTATCAACCATTCTTCATGTAGGCGACCTATTATACAATTACAATTTCGTCTAATTGCCAAAGAGATAGAAATATCAGAGAGGTAGTTATTGCAGATCTATTGAAACAAAGAACCATTGACGGGTTTTAAAGTAACATGTATGTAAAAGTGTCCGGATTTTAAAGTTCTGTTTATAATATGGACTTTTTACACGAATAAAGAAGCTTTTCTCTACCTTCTTCAATTCTTTATGTTAATAAAGCACGCTAATGGGATCGTTATAACACCTATTTTCCCTTTAATTGTTATTGCTTAATAAACCTAACCTAAATAGGAAAAGTAAGTTATAAGCTTTGTGTTATAAAGGGTGAGTTTCTATCACGAATTGTTAAAGATATATAGAAGACTATTGTCAAAGCTTTACTATGGAATTTGTAAGTAATTGAATGAAAGACTGTATATGTTTTATTCAAATACAATACTTGTCAATCTTTCATGGATCATTCAATTAATCCCACACAAACCTATACATATCTTACTTTCTTCTTACATTTTCAACTCAGTGACATTACAAATTTCAATAGTAACATGTATACAATATAGGTTATATGACTTTTTTTATGGGAAATACATACAACCAAAGAGCATATTCCTACAGTTACTAGTTTTAACAATATGAGAACCACATTGAAATTGAAAGAAATGATAATTAATATATTAATTGTAATATAGAGTAGCAGCTACTGTTACTATAATCATTGACATGTAATATAGAGTTGTAGCTACTGTTACTATAATCATTGACATGTAATATAGAGTGGTAGCTACTGTTACTATAATCAATGACATGTAATATGGAGTTGTACCTACTGTTACTATAATCATTGACATGTAATATAGAGTTGTACCTACTGTTACTATAATCATTGACATGTAATATAGAGTTGTACCTACTGTTACTATAATCATTGACTTGTAATATAGAGTGATAGCTACTGTTACTATAATCATTGACATGTAATATAGAGTTGTACCTACTGTTACTATAATCATTGACATGTAATATAGAGTTGTACCTACTGTTACTATAATCATTGACTTGTAATATAGAGTGATAGCTACTGTTTCTTTAATCATTGACATGTAATATAGAGTTGTACCTACTGTTACTATAATCATTGACATGTAATATAGAGTTGTAGCTACTGTTACTATAATCATTGACATGTAATATAGAGTGATAGCTACTGTTACTATAATCATTGACATGTAATATAGAGTTGTAGCTACTGTTACTATAATCATTGACATGTAATATAGAGTTGTAGCTACTGTTACTATAATCATTGACATGTAATATAGAGTTGTACCTACTGTTACTATAATCATTGACATGTAATATAGAGTGGTAGCTACTGTTACTATAATCATTGACATGTAATATAGAGTTGTACCTACTGTTACTATAATCATTGACATGTAATTTAGAGTGATAGCTTCTGTTACTATAATCATTGACATGTAATATAGAGTTGTACCTACTGTTACTATAATCATCGACATGTAATATAGAGTTGTACCTACTGTTACTATAATCATCGACATGTAATATAGAGTTGTACCTACTGTTACTATAATCATCGACATGTAATATAAGTGGTAATTATGTAGTAGCTTTACAAGCAGGTTAATGGGTTTTGTAATTCGTATTTTAATTGTTGATTAAAAATCATTCTTTGTTGAAATTCCTCGAACGTCTTGTTGAAATGGTAGGCTTATCGTGTTTTGACGTTTGACAAATGACATCGTCGATTTTTAGCTATCAATTTCTAGAAGAAAATTGATTTTCTATCTAAGCTTATTTAAACTAAGTCTTGTGGTATCTATGAGATATTTACATTCAATCTGAATATTTGTCAACATACTTAGTATATCATTCAATATAAAATAATAAGGGCAAATCAACACAGATAAACATATCAAACACTTTGTATTTACTATTTCTTGTATATAACTTTGTATACGACTATACTCCTGAATATAACTTTGTATAAGACTTTTTTCTATATTCAATGCTTTGTTATTGAAATAGTTTAATGGGTTCTAACATAGAAGTGTTTTCAGAAATGAGTGTACTACAAAAACAAGGATACAAATGGCATAAGATTTAATTTGTTTGTTAACATATCATTATATTTCAAGTATTAATTTCATATCAGGTGCAATATCCCCACCCCCTAAATAAACACTTAACAATATCTATATGTCCCCTATATCATGTTGGCTATAGCTATCTTGTTGGTAGTATTTTTAGTTTAAGTATGACTCATTGCCTGGAAGTCTTAATGGAAAAACAATGATTATTCCACTTTAAATGAACACTTAGAAACCATGCATGTTACTTAAATCTTTGATAAGCGCTTTGGCGTTGTTTCGTACCAATAAACATCTAATATAACATTGCTTGTAACTTGTCAATGTTATCATCGCTCATAGTTAAAATAAAATATTTTTCAGGTATTCTATTGTCTTCAATCTTGCCTTGTCTAATCCATAGTAGATTAATATATATATAGTAAATCAAATTGCGATCAAATAAATCAATTTGTCGTTTCAATTTCAACAGACACTTGCCCAGGAAGGTTATTGTCTAAAACAGATAAAGTTGGAGAGATGCTACCGCTTAAAGTTCACACAACACAAGATCATCAAGAAATCGTCTTCTAAAGAAAATAATTTCAATTTGTTGTTCAGTTTCCAATTTTATTCTCAAAAGACTTAAAATACAGGTAAAGTTCAGGATATGCTACTGTTTGAAGTTTAGGGCACACAAGATCAGCACTAAATCATTTCGAAAGAAGACTTACCTGTACGAATAGACCTCAATAATTCACATTTATCTCGAAACCACGGAAGAAATGGCTGAATGACAAATTCTTCTCGAGATATAGCCGGCTTCTTTAATAAGGCTAATACTTTCTCATACGTACTAGACATGTTTCCAGTCTTAAATTTCAACTTTTCTCAATGTTTCACACAACTCTGTCTCCACTTTGTTTTCATCTAATATTAGCTATTCCCAGATGAAGCAATCAAACAACAACTTGCATAAGAGATGCAAATTCACAAAAACATCAGAAATATCATCACAGCATTCTGTCCATTGTGATAATATGTTTAAATTGCAAACCTTAAAAGATGGCGTTACAACGCAGATTTCACTGTTCAGTGCACCACCAATTCCAAAAGATACTCTTTCCACAATGCTTTTATCTATTCAGAAGTAAAAAAAATGTATGAATCGATCCGAACTTTCACTGATCGGTTTAAAGTCAATAGCTGTTTATCACCACAACAGTCTAAAGTTATGACCGTGTTCATATCTTATACAAAGGCCCAGAAAATTAGCGTGTATACAAATGAAAGATTGGGTTTGTTTGAAGACCTTGTAAAGAGTTATTGATCCTGTCAATACAGCAATAATAGGGTGATATATGGCGATTGAGAAGTTCATATCTCGAGAATATCACTTACTGGGCACTTAGTCTAACTAAAACGAAAACTAACTGAGTACATGGTGCTTCTTAGACCTAATTATATGAACCGACTGTTGTTTTTGACAGAATAGTAAGCGTGTTGTAGTGTTTCAGACCATGTATCATCGTACGAATCATCATATCCAACAGGTTGTTAGCAAACCTGTTTGATCAAACTTGAGGGCATACGTTTTTGCAATGTTTATCAAAAGGACTGAATTTGGTTCAGGAAATTATCTATGTGAGAACTGTTTTGGAACAATTCAGTCTTTTTCTCATGTAAATTCCGTGTCCGAATTGGTGAACTGATTTTCGGAAAGTCAACATACACATCAATATTTTTATCTTCCTATTGGGAAAATGAAAATGAAAATGAATACTTGAACTTTTATTACAAATATTTCAGATACGAACTGCGTCTTATACTTTGACTGCACTAGCCACCTTCCTTTACTTATGGAAGTTTGTAAATGCAGCGATTTGATTGGATGGGACGCTACAGAATACAGCCAACCATAGCCCTCGACTGCACGCACAGCCAAATTATTTGAGTTGAATTATTTCTGTTGAGAGCACTGATTGGCTTTATATGGTAGCACTAGCAGCACTAATTTTGTACTGGTACCATAAATATATATCGAACTAGAAATCAACGATGTGTTTTGTCTCGAAAACACTTAGAACATACAGTCACATAACCTAATTTCGTGCTAATTTAATTTCGTGCATCTCAAGTAATTTACATGTGCGACCTTGTTTTGATAAACATGGGTTTTTTCTCTACAACGTCAACCTGCAGAATTTTTCCTATCGTTTCCAAGCAATGTCAAATTTATCATCTATTTCTAATGTCACATTTTTTATCGGCCATATTTTCTTATGATTCCCAGTTGTAAGCGGAATTCCAAGCGTCGTCTGCTAGAATATATTCCAGTGAACATTTTTTGATTTTGACGAAATTCCATGTTGAATCCTTATATGCACGAATAAAGGTTACACTACTGTATATGATAAAAAAAAAATAGTCAAGCAGATATATTTCATTCTCTATTCATGAAACACAAAAGCCTTAATATTCTTCATTTATACTTTAAAAACATCTTGATAGGCCTGTAACATTTCGTTAATGAATGTATTATGAATATTATTACATTCAGATATATGTGTAAATAAGCTACTGTGAGTAATTTTTGTTGTATATTGCATTTACAGTTATATAACCCCCTGTCCGTTAAAGGGCAACAATCGATATTTTGGGTGTTGATTAATAGCTTACGATTCTTGTTCGGAGACTAAGGTACGACTGATTAGACGAATGTTGAAGACCACCTTTAAAGCTTACTGTATCCTTCATGAATAGGCGGTTAATTGTTAATTTCAGTTTCATATTTGCATTGCAATCAAAGTGTCAGACGAAATCTACAATTGAAAGCTTATAAATTTAAGAGTGTTCTTGAAAACGCATTTATGTCCCTTTAGTTAGCATTGAATGAATGTAATCTTTTCTGGAACAGTTTCTCTGGAATTTCAACCACACTCGATATTTACAGTTGGCCTACAACACGTTTCTTTAATGTAAATAGATAGTAGTCAACTTGTTGAGGCCCCTTTCCTAGGAAATATGATCTCTACATTTTATTCCCGTGGATTTTGTTCAACCAGTCCGTATGGTAGTTGAGACACTGCAGGTAACGAAGGTTGCAATTAAGATATCAGAGTAAATTTTATTCAGTCCTGTCAAATTTGAATATGGAATATATGTCTATTTAAATCTTCTCTATCCATATATGGCTATAATTAGGCTAATTGAAAATCAACTGTGGTCTGAGAAATGAAATGGGGGAAATTACGTCCCTTAATTTGTGACTTCATTAATTCATAAATAATTTTAGATTGTGGTGCGCTTACTTCATCAACCCATTGACCATGCACCGGTTAGGCCTGAAACACGTGCATTGGATAGATTTGACTCACGTGTACCGGTTAGACTTGACCCCTATGCACCGGTTTGAACTGAATCCCGTGCACTAGACTTGACTCCGGTGCATTGGTTATACCTGACACGCACGTATCGGTTAGACTTCGCGTACTGGTTGAACTTGACTCCCATGTATTGGTTAGATTTGACTCCCGTGTATTGGTTACACTTGTACTCACGTGTACGGTTGGAATTGAAGCCCATCCATTGGTTAGACTTGACGCCCGTGCATTGGGTAGACTTAAAGCCCGTACACCAGTTAAACTTGACGCCCGTTCATTTGTTAGATTTGAAGCCTGTGCACCGATTAAACTTGACGCCCGTGCAATTGTAAGATTTGAAGCTCGTGTACCGGTACCGGACTTGACTCCCTTGCAAAGGTTAGACGTGATTTCGGTGCACTGACTGAACTTATACTCTCATTAATCACACTTTTAAGTCTCACAAATGTTAGACGTTACGCCAATGCACCGCTTAGACTGGAAGCGCTTGTTTTGGTTAAACTTGGCGCATGGCCATTAGTAATACTTGACGATCGTGCATGGGTTAGACTTGACGGTCCTGTAATGGTTTGACTTGAAGCACGAGTATTATATAGTGAATAGTAGTGCGGGTGGTGCTTATGATTAGACACACAGGTGGTGCACAGTGATTATACAAACACAGGCGGTGCACAGTGACTATACAAACACAGGTGTTGTACAGTGATTATACAAACACAGGTGGTGCACAGTGATTATACAAACACAGGGGGTGCATAGTGACTATACAAACACAGGTGGTGCATAGTGATCATACAAACACAGGGAGTGCATAGTGATTATACAAACACAATGGGTGCATAGTGACTATACAAACACAGGTAGTGCACAGTGACTATACAATCACAGGCGGTGCATAGTGACTATACAAACACAGGCGTGCATAGTGACTATACTCACACACAGGTGCATAGTGACTATACTCACACTGGCGGTGAATATTGACTATACAAATACAGGCGGTGAATAATGACTATACAAACACAGGCGGTGAATAATGACTATACACACACGGCGGTGCATAGTGACTATACTCACACTGGCGGTGAATAATGACTATACAAACACAGGTGGTGCACAGTGACTATACAATCACAGGTGGTGCACAGTGACTATATATACACACAGGTGCATAGTGACTATACACACACACAGGTGCATAGTGACTATACACACACACAGGTGCATAGTGACTATACATATACAGGCCATAGGTAGTGACCCTTGGGTATTGAATTTCCATTGAGTTACTGATACATGTAAGATGAGAGATACTTATCCTCGTGACTCGTTGAATATAGTGTTGATACAGAAAGTACTCATAAACATTAAAAATTTTCATAGCTTTGTAACGACGTACATTGACTTTGATTTTTTACATTACGTCTAAAGTCCACTGACATATGATTACTACATATTATTATAGGCGATCATGTTAGTGAATGAGGAACACATAGTTCTGTTGTTCAGTGCACGATCTGCTGCCATACTGATTTAAAGGGAATGGGGAGAGGTTGTGGAATATACACAATGTTCATAGGATGAGATTGAGATCAACTATGGTGGGTAGTATTTCGGTTTCAATAGAATGGTATCCATATGACACCATCCTGACTCCATAGACTCGATGGCAGTTACATGGGTTAACCCTTATTGACATGTGTGGCTCAAAGAAAGTCTTGTTTCGTGCGTGAGCCCCACATTAATATACCTTCCTGAAAAGTATTGAGTGGAGTGCTGAGAAGGGATGGTTACTCGACCCTTTAAACCCTCGTGTGTGCCTTAGTCCTAGATATCAATTATACCATCATATATCATTTTAACTGCATGTCGCATGTTAGTTAGTACAGATTATCAGCTGATTAGCCGATGTCTATAAATCCAGATAAAAATGTCTTCTTTTCATTTTATAAAGAATCTTCCGAACACAGGTAAGATAATTATATTATTTCATATATCATTTTTCTCTAGTTTCAAGCTATATTGAACTTATTGAATAGAGTTATATGTGTAGCATATAAACACACTTGGTTAAAACTTGATCCATCAAATCTGTAAAATGTCAGTTCACTTAAGTAACTGCGGATCGGTAAAATCTTCCCAGGCTTCTTTTCATACCTTACAAAACATGTATTGTGTATATTTTCAGTCAGTATGATAGGTTATATTGTAACGTTATAAATATGTGTATTTTGTATATTTTCAGTCAGTATGATAGGTTATATTGTAACGTTATAAATATGTGTATTTTGTATATTTTCAGCCAGTATGATAGGTTACATTGTAACGTTATTACGACATCTATTTTGTATATTTTCAGCCAGTATGATAGGTTATATTGTAACGTTATAAATATGTGTATTGTGTATATTTTCAGCCAGTATGATAGGTTATATTTTAACGTTATTACGACATGTATATTGTATATTTTCAGCAAGTATGATAGGTTATATTGTAACATTATTAAGACATGTATTTTGTATATTTTCAGTAAGTATGATAGGTTATATTGTAACGTTATAAAGATATGTATTTTGTATATTTTCAGCCAGTATGATAGGTTATATTGTAACATTATTAGCAGTGCTAACAGTGGCTACAGCAGCTCCGTATGTATATCATAATTTTTAGTTTAATGACATAGCTACCTAGAGAAACGGTCCTATAAGCAAATTTAGAACATCAATTTGTTCCAATGGTCCATAGATCAGAGACGAAATATAACTCATTGTACGGAATTGACGACCGCATCTTAGGGTTCACTTTTGACCCTCTATTTATACAGGTACGAATAGGTTGACTTGGCCCTACAAATCTGGCCTTATCCCGTTTCTCGGACTTGCTGAACATAAAGATAGTGGAACTTATGGGGCCAAACATGAAATGTGACCGAATTTTGATATGATTTGTTCGTTTGGTGCTGATGGTTTGTTGATGTAGTGACAAAGTGTGAGGTAGTAAAGGTGATGTAAAGTCAGTGATATAATGATATAATAACATTGTTGTCGATTGGGAATAATACCTCTCTTGTATTTTTTTTTTTATTCATTCCAGTCTCGATCTAAAAGCGCCGTATGCCAAATTAGACGCCAATGGAGATGGAAAAGCCACGTATGATGAATTCAGTGCTGCATTATCGTCTTTAGATTCTGATCGTAAGTTTTATTCTTCTCGAATTATTTAATGATTTTTGAAATTTAAACCGAAGAAGCCGAAGCAAAAACGTTCTGTTGTAAGGTTTGTAATTTAGGGGGTTTCATCAACGTTTATCAAGGTTTCTACTGTAAGATGCAGATGTTACCAGATTTTTCCTTTTTTTATTCCATTGTTCTAACACAGTTAGTGTCACAATTTATTTTTTTGATCAATCAAACTCTAGTCGTAGAAACGAAAAGTCGCCGTAAAATTACTAGTTAGGGGTATTTTTAAAAGAATAATGCGATTTTCGTACATTTCAAGTACCTTTAAAGACATTTACATATATTCAAGACTAAAATCCCCCCCCCCCCCCCACCCCAAAAAAAAATGGCACATCTGTCCCTTTAAAATCAAATCATGGAAAGTATGGTTGTTCATTGTTTCATATATTACAGACAATGGTAAAATAGTTCTGGGAGAATACATTGCTGGTTCAGTAGCGGATAAAACCCTTGCCACCAGAATCTTTGATTACTTGGACTATGATGCCGATGGTCATCTTGATGCTGATGATTTGAATGTTGGATTCCATCAGTTTGATGTCAACCTGGATAATGGCGTCTCATTCGACGAATTTTCGGCTGGTTTTCAAGCTGTAAGTTTTGGCGATATTGTTTCTAACTTGTGATTAAAATTCAGTTCGAGATGTTTGGTTTGTATCCTGTTTGTGGTGGACTGTCAATTAACAAAAACGTTTTTACCTGAGCATTGCGTTCCTTTCCTTTTTTCTATCATATCATACAATGGGAATTCGTTTCCAAATTGACCTTATATATTCTATTGGAAGATACAGACAATAGCAAATTTCTAGTGGATTTGATTACATTGATGAAAATTATTAACCATTTCTCATGTTTCATTTTTAATTTCAGATTTTATCTCTGTTATTACCAGCAACATCCAAACCTATAGGCTAACTTCTGTATATGATTTATAATAAAATATTATAAAATAGTTTAATATGTCTTATTTAATATTCTTTATACTTTTGTATGTGTATCGGGGCCACTTATACCAACTTTGAATGGGGTGAATCGATGCTATCATTGTCCCGGTTAAACATAAAAAGTTTGGCGTACCTCTTTGCATTTTCTTTGAGTATTAAGAATACCCCAATCCCAAATTACATTGGTCTACACTATTTAATAAGTTGGTTGATTGTCCCATGATTTTGAAAAACGGTTTGTCTAATCTGCATCATCATGACGCTCATACCCCTATGTCACCAAGAATTGTGACTTTCAATCGCCCCGATCTGGTCCCCGAGTAAACAAATAGCGGCTGCCCTCTCTGCCCCTCCCCACCTTGACTCCGCCACTGAACCCCCCTCCTTTTGAACCGATTGTGTCCTGTCCATTGGATCATGACGGCGGAACGAATAGGACGTTTTAAATTTGCTTTTAGGGCCCTATAATCTAAGGATTGTTTTGGTCCCGATACAACCCGATCATTTTTTGGTCGATCGGGTCCAGTCGTACCTTTGCATACTTGCGCCCCGGAATCGTATCGATCACTCGAAGAACTTCTGTTATTTGACCCCCATTACCATGGTCCAAAAAACGTAGGACGACTGGAGGCGATTCGAGACAACAATCGGGTCGATCACAAAGAAGCCGATCACATTTTCAGAACCCGATCCTCGGTGGACTGAAGCAATCACACCAGGTCTTCCCCCGTAGATAAAGTAGTGCTCTATTGTGCTCACAGATTCCAGATATTTTCGCAAAAATGCAGAAGTCGACTCAAAAAATTGTCGCGTACTATCCAGATCAAAATAATGCATGATGAAATGGGGGTAGGCCTATGACCTACCCTGTGACAGCTCCCCACACATTTGTCGTCTTGGGTCTTGAATTTCTCTGGAGTGACTGTTGCATGAAAGACAGGGCAAACTCATCTTCTGGAGTGGGGTCTGATTATAGGATTGATATTCACAAAGATAATAGCATTTTTCTTCTGTAATTCCATAGCGTTGTAACGACGCACATCGACTTTGCTTGTTTACATGACGTCCAAAGTCCAATGACATTCGGTTAATACATATAAGAGATCACGTTAGTGAATGGGGAACACATAGTTCTGTTGTTTAGTGCACGATGTGCTGTCATACTAATTTAAAGGGAATAAGGAGGCGTTGTGAAATATGGACAATGAACCAAACACCATTTCGAGCCGTTAAAATTAATCTAATAAGAAATAAAAGCATCTCATCCATATACACATCTCATTCATCTAACATCGAAGACAGTTGTACAGATGCTAATCTCACCTGAAAGACCGCATGACACAGTCAGATGTGTACTGAAAAGGAAGTCTTGTTCTAATTTGAGCCCCTCATCTTACTCTCCAGCACCAATCCATGTTATTGAAATGACGTGAAGGGCTGTATATGGACCAGTGGTCCCCTCCCGATGGAAATAGCTTTTAAACAAATGCTCTCCCGAATTCTGAGAACCCTCTGTTGATATTTCTTGTGGGTGTGGGACCTCTTATAGAAGTTTAGTCACCGTTAGGGATTCGACCCTTTAAACCCTCGTGTGTGCCTTAGTCCTAGATATCAATTATACCATCATATATCATTTTAACTACATGTCACATGTTAGTTAGTACAGATTATCAGCTGATTAGCCGATGTCTATAAAACCAGTCAAAACTTCATTTCTTTCATTTTATTAAGAATCTCCGGAACACAGGTAAGCTATTTTATATCATTTTCACCACTTTCAAATTATATTGAACTTGTGGATTATTATATTCATGGTTGATACTATCTGATTCATCAAATCAAAGATGTCAGTCTTCTCTTGTAATTAGGAACGGAATTCATTGCGATCAAGTTAAAAAATGCTATACACAAAACGTTTTTTTGTTTTTCAATTAAAGGCTATATTGTAACGTTATTACGACATGTATTGTGTATATTTTCAGTAAGTATGATAGGTTATATTGTAACGTTATTACGACATGTATTTTGTATATTTTCAGTAAGTATGATAGGTTATATTGTAACGTTATTATGACATCTATTTTGTATATTTTCAGCAAGTATGATAGGTTATATTGTAACGTTATAAATAGGTGTATTTTGTATATTTTCAGTCAGTATGATAGGTTATATTGTAACTTTATAAAGATATGTATTTTGTTTAATTTCAGCCAGTATGATAGGTTATATTGTAACGTTATTACGACAAGTATTTTGTATATTTTCAGCAAGTATGATAGGTTATATTGTAACGTTATTACGACATCTATTTTGTATATTTTCAGCAAGTATGATAGGTTATATTGTAACGTTATAAAGATATGTATTTTGTTTAATTTCAGCAAGTATGATAGGTTATATTGTAACCTTATTACATGTATTGTGTATATTTTCAGCCAGTATGATAGGTTATATTGTAACGTTATAAAGATATGTATTTTGTTTAATTTCAGCCAGTATGATAGGTTATATTGTAACGTTATAAAGATATGTATTTTGTTTAATTTCAGCAAGTATGATAGGTTATATTGTAACGTTATAAAGATTTGTATTTTGTTTAATTTCAGCAAGTATGATAGGTTATATTGTAACCTTATTACATGTATTGTGTATATTTTCAGTCAGTATGATAGGTTATATTGTAACGTTATAAAGATATGTATTTTGTATATTTTCAGCCATTATGATAGGTTATATTGTAACGTTATAAAGATATGTATTTTGTTTAATTTCAGCCAGTATGATAGGTTATATTGTAACGTTATTACGACAAGTATTTTTGTATATTTTCAGCAAGTATGATAGGTTATATTGTAACGTTATTACGACATCTATTTTGTATATTTTCAGTAAGTATGATAGGTTATATTGTAACGCTATAAAGATATGTATTTTGTATAATTTCAGGCAGTATGATAGGCTATATAGTAACATTATTAGCAGTGCTAACAGTGGCTACAGCAGCCCCGTATGTATATTTTATATTTTTAGTATATTGGCATGAGTAAAAAATAACTCACTTTACATATATGACATATAATACGAAATCTGGCCACATCTTGCATTGCCTATATAGATTTTATCTACAAATCTCGCCTTATCCCGTTTCTCGACGTGGTAAACATAAAGATATTGGCACATATGAGGCCAGACATGAAATGTCACTTTTAAAAGGAGTTGTTCCGACCCACTTTGGAGTTGCTAGTTTCCGAGAATTTAAACCATGATAAAAGCCAAATGAGTCCATCAAGGCATTATGGATATTCTACTATGTCACCTGTGTCCAACACGGTACCAAAATACAGTCGAGGGGTAGACTTAACTGTAAGTAAGTTAAAAGGGAAATTCTTGCCCTCGGCTCTTTTGCGATATCGTGTGTAGTACACAATAGGTTGAAATTACGTCATTAGAACGTGACTGTGGAAGAGAATTTGTTAGATTACAATGGAGACGAAAATTATAAAAAAAAGAAAAACGAAACGAAATTGTAATTAGGTGTGAGGTAGAGGTAGAGTGATGTAGAGGCAGCGGTATTGACAATCGTTATTATTGGTCGTATTAAGGGTATGTCAAACCATATTTCATAAAATCAATTCTTTTACAATTTTTTCATTCCAGTCTCGATCTAAAAGCATCGTTTGCCAAATTAGACGGCAATAGAGACGGGCAAGTCACGTTAGCTGAATTTAATGCTACATTGTCGTCTTTAGACACTGATCGTAAGTTTATTCTCCCTGAATTACCTTAATAATTTTTAAAATTGAAACCAAAAAGTTGTTTCAAACGACTGAGTTCAGTTTCAGATGATGAAGAGCTCTTCCTTTAGGACATCAATCCAGGTTAAGAAGTTTTGTTCGACTTCAAATTGGTTTTATGACCTCGATGATACGGATCAGAACAATCCACATTTTGTTTCAATCTGTATACTCTTTTGTACTTTTTATTACCTCAAGATTATTCTATAAACCAATATATTACAGACAATGGTAAAATAATTCTGAGAGAATACATTGCTGGTTCAGCAGCGGATAAAACCCTTGCCACCAGAATCTTTGATTACTTTGACTATGATGCTGATGGTCATATCGATGCTGATGATTTGAATGTTGGATTCCATCAGTTTGATGTAAACCTGGATAATGGTGTCTCATTTGCCGAATATTCTGCCGGTTATCAAGCTGTAAGTTTTTGGTCGTTTTTGACCAATGAACTCATATATTCTTACATCATATTATGTGATTTCAATTGAGATATGGATGTTTCGTTTGTATTCTGTAGATTTGGTTATAATACGCGGAAACAAATACGAAGCACAAATGGCTCAAATTCCGCGGGAAAAAGGTAGAGGTTGGTGATAAGTTATGAAGCAGTAAACCGTTCTCAGAACACTTACACAAATTTCTGAGAACGCATATTATTTTCTTAAAAGTTATTTATCTCACGGTTGACCTTAGATTCTATTCAAAGATCATACAGAAAATAGCAAATCTGTAGACAATCCGATTCCATTCATAAAATTGATACCATTAATGCATGCTTCAATCTTATTTTCAGATTGTGTCTCTGTTACTACCAGCAACATCCAAACCTATTATAGGCTAACTTCTGTATGTGATTTATAATAAAATGTTATAATATAGTTTAATATGTTTTAATTTCGTTATATTTAATAACATGTAACCATTCCAGCGATTTAAGTTACATGTGTTTTCTCTATATAATGTTGTGGGTTGGTTATCTAATGATTGGGAAACGGTTTGTCTTATCCGCCACTTGTCCCAGTTCTTCAGACAGTAGCTGTCGTCTTATTAGAATTGACCTTTACCGCCTCACACCAAGCAATAATCTGTTGTAGTTCCTTTAAAAGAAGGTTGTGTATACCCTGGAAATACCCTGATTTGTGCCTACCATCAAATATTACTCTTGCAGTTGTTGACTACTTGGAGCAAGTTGTCTCTGACAGTACGTATTGATTCCTGTTTCTTTACTCTGACAGTGCGTACTGATTCCTGTTTCTTTACTCTGACAGTACGTACTGATTCCTGTTTCTTTACTCTGACAGTACGTACTGATTCCTGTTCCTTTACTCTGACAGTACGTACCGATTCCTGTTTCTTTACTCTGGCAGAACGTACTGATTCCTGTTTCTTTACTCTGACAGTACGTACTGATTCCTGTTTCTTTACTCTGACAGTTCATACTGATTCCTGTTCCTTTACTTTGACAGTAAGTACTGATTCCCGTTTCTTTACTCTGGCAGGACGTACTGATTCCTGTTTCTTTACTCTGATAGTACGTACTGATTCCTGTTTCCTTACTCTGACAGTTCGTAATGATTTCTGTTTCTTTACTCTGACAGTACGTACTGATTCCTGTTCCTTTACTCTGACAGTACGTACTGATTCCTGTTTCTTTACTCTGACAGTACGTACTGATTCCTGTTTCTTTACTCTGACAGTGCGTACTGATTCCTGTTTCTTTACTCTGACAGTACGTACTGATTCCTGTTTCTTTACTCTGACAGTGCGTACTGATTCCTGTTCCTTTACTCTAACAGTACGTACTGATTCCTGTTTCTTTACTCTGACAGTACGTACTGATTCCTGTTTCTTTACTCTGACAGTACGTACTGATTCCTGTTTCTTTACTCTTACAGTACGTACTGATTCCTGTTTCTTTACTCTGACAGTACGTACTGATTCCTGTTCCTTTACTCTTACAGTACGTACTGATTCCTGTTTCTTTACTCTGACAGATAACGTCAAGATTGTTTAACAGCAACGCAATGAATGGAATGGGACAATAACCTATTGTGTTTGGCTGTGAATCATAAAAAGGACTAAAGTTGCTATCCTTCCTTCAATACATCTTCTATGTCTTTTCCATCTTCCATGGCAAAAATAGCACAGAAAAGTAAACTTGAAATTTAATTACAATGTCATTTTAACCAGGTTTGTTTGATTGATGGATATGACCTACAGGTTTTCTTCTAGTGATTTCCGAGTTTTTAAGAGTCATTCCCCTATTCGTGTCAAAGTAACTGCATCGCTATCTTTTTTATACGCAAGAACCGGGTCACACCGTGTCATGTACATTTCACATGTTACCTGCCTATAAGGATTATCTGATTGTAAAAACGATCGCGTCAGCGGGTTTTTAAATTATTTTGATATCTTATCAGTGGGTATAAATGCCAGACCTGTTGTGGTGCATTATTTATTCATTTTTATAGATCAAAGGTAAGAGAGGGACATACTTACTCGTAACCTGGATGGATCATATATCCGCCAATTGGTATGATATTGCTCTTAAACAGCACCCATATTTGTTAGGATGCTATCCGCTCGCTTTATGAATAAGTAGCTTCCTTTTTTGAAGACGAGGTCTGCCCAATGGCCAAAAAAGAAAGAATGTATTTATATCATTGAAAAATCTGACAATGACAAATGTCTCACACGGAACACAAAAAAGAGATGTAGGCCTACTTCGAGTTCTTAAGTTAAATCCAGTTGGGTCATGAATATTGATATACGTGTACACATGTCAATATTCATCACACTTCATAAACGAAAAAAATGTTATCATTATTTCCAGACAGACAGGATGTTAGCTTTCTGGATACTGGTAGCTTTAGTGGCATTTTCAGCCGCACAGACTCCTTCAGGGTAAGTAGACAATTCAATCTCTTAATCCGACAGGAAGATTGAGGGTGGGGGAAGTCTGCTATATTAACTGAGCGTCAATATTTTTGCACAGCTTCTCCAAACAAAATGGCGATAGCATAGTGACTGTCACGTTAATTTCGTCTTACGTTTCAAGACCACTTTTACCACCCCTTACAACAAGAAAAATAAGTCAGCTTTCGTTACTTTAACCGCTTTGTTTCTTTAATAATCTGACCACATAAAGATTACCCCATGGACCATTCCAAAAAGAGTTGAGAATCACTAACAGAGTGGTATCACATGAAGGCAGCATTCCCTTTTTAGCCATTATGTCAGTAAATGATGTTTAACATATGATCTGGACATATAAATATATTTTGTATTTTGTTTGTATTTTCAGTTCCCGTACAATAGTGGAAGCCTTAAAAACATCTTACAACAGAGTAGATACCAATGGCGATGGGAAACTAGTACCATCTGAATTTCAAGCTTCTTTGAACGTAGCTGACAAAGATCGTAAGTTTATTAAAACTATATTTGGATTGGACTAAACTGCTGATTCTACTTCAGATATGGTAATGTGATATTAAATAGAAATAAGAACAAAAACCGAGGTTTCTGTTTCAGATAATGATAAAGTAATATTAAGGGAATATGAACGAGGGTTTCTTTTACAGATTATAGTAAAGTCATATTAAGAGAATATAAACGGGGTTTCTGTTTCAGATAGTGGTAAGGTAATATTTAGAGAAGTAACCGATGTTTCTGTTTTCAGATAATGGTAATGTAATATTTAGAGAATATAAACAGGAGTTTCTGTTTCAGATAATGGTAAAGTAATATTTAGAGAAGTAACCGATGTTTCTGTTTTCAGATAATGGTAAAGTAATATTTACAGAATATAAGCGGACCTTCTGTTTCAGATATGGTATAGTAATATTTAGAGAATATAAACAGGAGTTTCTGTTTCAGATAATGGTAAAGTAATATTTAGAGAATTAACCGATGTTTCTGTTTTCAGATAATGGTAAAGTAATATTTACAGAATATAAGCGGACCTTCTGTTTCAGATAGTGGTATAGTAATATTTAGAGAATATAAACGGGAGTTTCTGTTTCCGATAATGGTAATGTAATATTTAGAGAATATAAACAGGAGTTTCTGTTTCAGATAATGGTAAAGTAATATTAAGAGAATATAAACGGAGTTTCTGTTTCAGATAATGGTAATGTAATATTTAGAGAATATAAACGGGAGTTTCTGTTTCAGATAATGGTAAAGTAATATTTAGAGAATATAAACGGAGTTTCTGTTTCAGATAATGGTAAAGTAATATTTAGAGAATATAAACGGAGTTTCTGTTTCAGATAATGGTAATGTAATATTTAGAGAATATAAACGGGAGTTTCTGTTTCAGATAATGGTAATGTAATATTTAGAGAATATAAACGGAGTTTCTGTTTCATATAATGGTAAAGTAATATTAAGAGAATATAAACGGAGTTTCTGTTTCAGATAATGGTAAAGTGATATTTAGAGAATACATTGGGTCATCTACTACAGCTGATAGAGATTTGGCTGAGAAGATTTTCAACCATTTTGATTTTGATAATGACGGCCATCTTGACGATGATGATTTGAAAGTTGCCTTCGCTCAATTGGACGTTAATAGAGATGGTGGGGTATCTTTGGCTGAATATTTAACCGAAGGAACCACTGTAAGTAGATAGCGAAAAAAAAAACGATAAAAACTGACAACTTGACTGCCGCACAATAAACAGGCCCGTTTTCCCCTGCCTGCTTTCCACTAGTGATGCAAGTTCACGAGACTCACGTGGATAAATTCTCTACTCGTTTGGTAAGTACAATAAAACGAGGTTCTTCGGATTGTGCACCTTAAAGATTTCTCGGCTGTTGGAAATTGAAATAGAGTAGGCCAAAGTTTTCCCTGATTAAATACAAAATGGCGTTGCCTGTCTCAAAGACTCATATACATTTGTTCGCAGGATTTTATACCAGATACATGTAATTATATTATATCATTCTGTTTATTTTTTTAAGTTGTTAGCGATATTATTGCCATCAGTTGCTTCTACAGTTGCACCTACAGCTGCCGGATAAATTTTATACCATACAATAATAATAAATATATAACATAACATAATGTGCCTCCTTATTATATACTTTCTGCATATTCTGTTTTGTGATATCAAAATGCAGTTTGAGATTGTCTGTCTGCATTATTACAATGTTTGGAAGGAAAATATACCGAAGGTCCATGTACTACATGTTGTTCAAGTTAAAGAACCCTAGACAATTTTAAATTGAAAGAGAGTATGCAAATACCACACTAACCGTACATTGGGTGGTGTTCATTAGCCCAATCAGGTAACCAGTTCAGGTAGAACATTAGCTCCACGATAAAAACAAAACTTAAAATACGTTAAAACTATATCATTATAAGTAAGGTATTGCACCTAATCAACTAAAATTCAAGGAGCACCTTCATCATTCGTTTGTCCAATCATACCTTAGTTTCAGAAACAGGAATATTTTTAGCTTACGTAATAATGTCCACAGCTCATCGTCGAAATTTGAGCCTTCAAATACATGTGTATCCATAATTATTTACGTTTGAAATTTTAGTGAGACTATGCCAAATATAGAAACCACATATATAGAAATAAACAGTTAAATTTCTAGTTTGAGGTATATTTGAAGCTTTATGCGATTTCCGTGTATTTTTAGTACTTCTTACGACTATTAAAGCACAATAAAGACCCAAATCAATCCCCAAAAATGCCGATTGTTCCCCTTTAAGTTTAAATGAATGTCTAGATAAGTCCTGTGCCAACTGAAAATGAGCGTTATCAGCTGTTACCGTAAATATATAGACGAATTTTATCCCATTAAATCTTATAGTTCTGTTCCCATAAGTGTGATTCCTGTCTGACAGAATAAGATAACCTACCTAGGCGATAACTAAGTGTAAACACTATGTTATATTTAAAAAACAAAATATTTCTTAATTTGATATTGCGCTTACAAGATAGGGACCGTTACGGCACAAAGCTACAATTAAAGAGTTTTTTGTTTGCGATACCAACATGATAGCCCCTTTTTCCTGGTCTGAGATTTCTTAAACCCCAAAAATAAAACTCAGAAGGCTGTCGTTATAATGATGACTTCGATTATTATGATAACTGTGATTTTTATGATTACTACGATAAGCATGATTACTATGATAATAATAATTACTGTGATTACAATTATTACTGTGATGATTATGATTACTGTGACAAGTATGATTACTATGATTATAATAATTATAATGATTACTGTGATTATAATGATTACTGTGATGATTATGATTACTGCGACAAGTATGATTACTATGATTATAATAATTATATTGATTACTGTGATTATAATGATTACAGTGATTATTACGATTACTGTGATTATAATGATTATAATGATTATAATGATTACTGTGATTATAATGATTACTGTGATTATAATGATTACGGTGATTATTATGATTACTTTGATCATAATAATTCTAATGATTACTGTGATTATTATGATAACTGTGATTATTATGATTAATGTGATTATAATGATTACAGTGATTTTAATGATTACAGTGATTTTAATGATTACAGCGATCATAATGATTACAGTGATTATAATGATTACAGTGATTATAATGATTACTTTGATTATAATGATTACTTTGATTATAATGACTACTTTGATCATAATGATTACTTTGATTAGCATAGTAACTGTGATTATTATGATTTTAATGATTACTGTAATTATTATGATAACTGTGAGTATTGCGATTACCATGATTATGATGGCTTTGATTATAATGATTACTGTGATTATAATGATTACTGTGATTATAATGATTACTGTGATTATAATGACTATTATGATTACTGAAATGATAATGATTACTACGATTCAATTCAATTCAATTCTTTCTTCCTTTGAGTCAAAGACTCATCAGGTACAAAATACAAAACATACATACATAATATACAAACACGGTTTTAGGAGAGTAAAATTAACTTAAAGATAACAAATAATAAAAATTTACAGAGTTAATCTCGTAGTTTTCCTGCATAGGAAAGAAATTTACCAAGATTTATTAATTCAGAGTGGTTGTTCACGCTTAGTAACTCAATAAGTTTAAAGACGCTAGGTTTTCTATAATAATATTTTTTTATGTACAATATTCGTAGGGAATTAAATTTTGGGCATTTAAGGATAAAATGAAATTCATCTTCAATGTTTTGGATGTTACAATATTTACAAATACGTTCCTCTCGTTTACGCTTATCATATCTACTTTTTTCTATTTCCAATGAATGACTAGATAGGCGTATTCTAGTAATTTCTTTACAAAATTTAGGATAAATATTCTTTGTCAAATAAAATTGAATAGTAAAATAATGCACGACATGTTTAGAAATGATAGCCTTAGGTGAGTTACAAATTTCATTATAGCATTATTGTTTAAATATGTCAAAAAGTCGATTTTTATAATTGAAATGTCTGTTTTATTAATACCATCAAAAGATTTATTCCAAATGTATCCTAAGCCAATTGAAAAAAGTTCAGTTTTCAAATTCATTAACCAAGGGTCATCATTAATAAGCATGTAGTTATACACAGTTTTAAGCAGTACATTTTCAGTATAAAGTAATTTGAACCAATATTTAAAAATACGTATTTTTCTATGAATAATAAGAGGGTAACGACCAAGTTTGAAATATACCATACAAGAATTTGTTGCAGAACGGGTTGATGAATTCTCTTTAAAAAATATAAATGTATAAATGACCCATAATTAATAATACTACCTATCTACGTGTCAAATACTGCCAATTTAGTTACAATTTTAAAAAAATTATCTTCACAAACCTTAAAAAGCGAGAATAATGCTTTGCGCCCTTGGTCTGCATGATGGTTTATAATGATCGAATCAGTGTTAAAATTTTACCTGTAACACCCTCTCTGATAAGTTTAAACCATAGATTAAAGCGATTAGTTAAATCAAAAGCTTTTTTTGTAATCGACAAAGAACACATATAATCTCTTTTTCTTTTTTAAAGTTCTGTTTATTAGTGACTGTAAAATAAACATTGCGTCCACTGTTGAACAATTTTTTCGAAAACCAAATTGACAGTTCGTTATTTTGTATTCATCTTTATCGAATTTTCTGAGACGACTGTTAAGAATACTAGTGAAAAGTTTTCCAATGCATGATACAATAGTTATTCCCTTAAAATTACGATAAGCGTAGTAACTATGATTATAATGATTACATTGATTACTGTGGTGATTACGATTACTGTGATGTATGATAACTGTGATGTATGATAACTGTGATGTATGATAACTGTGATGTATGATTACTGTGCATGATGTATGATAACTGTGATGTATGATGACTGTGATGTATGATGACTGTGATGTATGATGACTGTGATGTATGATAACTGTGATGTATGATGACTGTGATGTATGATAACTGTGATGTATGATGACTGTGATGTATGATGACTGTGATGTATGATAACTGTGATGTATGATAACTGTGATGTATGATAACTGTGATGTATGATTACTGTGATGTATGATAACTGTGATGTATGATAACTGTGATGTATGATTACTGTGCATGATGTATGATAACTGTGATGTATGATGACTGTGATGTATGATAACTGTGATGTATGATTACTGTGATGTATGATAACTGTGATGTATGATAACTGTGATGTATGATAACTGTGATGTATGATTACTGTGATGTATGATTACTGTGATGTATGATAACTGTGATGTATGATAACTGTGATGTATGATAACTGTGCTTATTGCCATTATTGCGATTATTATCACGTTAATGAAATCAATAAGTTCTATAATAACTAAATTCCAAATTTATAATATTGAGTTTTGGTCGTATAAAACCAAACCGACTTTAATCATTGAATCAAAGATTACACTTCCTATATCTTCTGATATCTATCTGAAGATACTATCATAAAAACCAATGCCAAATATCTATTTTTAGATTCTTATCGGCTGCTTTTCTGCAAAGTTGCATGATTTGGCTGATAAAAACCTGTTAAGTTTTCAGAAACGCCATTTGAATGCAAGCTGTCCAGATTCAACAGGTATAGTACATACTGCACTCATTTTTTATTTTTTCATTTTTTAGAACACACATTCTTTTGATTGGTCCTAAAACAACAGATAAGTCGGAAACTAGCAGATTCATTTTTCTATGACAAAAGAATATTGCATTTGTAAGAAATTAAAACACCCGGAGCACATTTAAAATAGTCCACCCAAGCAATAACGCATATTTGTTTTCGGGAATTTCAAACACAAACAGCAACTGAATCGTTTATTTTAAGAGTAATATTGTTAAATCATTATCATTTTTGTGAGATTTTGAGACAACCGAATAAAAGTTCCAAAAAAAAAAATTACACGTACCAAAGAAATAACTTTCGGAAAGTGTTATATTTTTTCAGATACAACATGTTGAGATTACTAGTTTTATCGGTAGCCATTACAGTGGCATTATCAGAGTCCATATCGTATGTATTTAATGGATATTCAGTATAGGGCTTATGAAAAATAATATTTTAGACTGGAAATAACCAGCTATTTTGTATATTGTCTTTAAAATGATCTAATCTGCATCACTATACTGGGTCTAATATAGTAAGAGTGCTGAGTTCAGTGTCTCAAGAACTTATATCACTGAACTTTAGCTGGAATGAGGGGTTTTTTTTCACTGCTATTATTTATTTTCAACCTAACTGATGAGCATTTTCTTTTCCGGTCAATTAATTTCTTATCAATTGTTGTAGAACTGTTGATGTTAAAGTTAAGACCTATTTCTCGGCGATGGATAAAGATGGCGACGGACAGGCCACGTATGAAGAACTGACGAATTCTGTCTTAGCTATGGACACAGACAGTAAGTCAATCTGGACACTTTTACAAGATTTTGAGCAAGAAATTTGTACAATTTAAAACTTTATTTTTGTTAAAATCTCACACAAAAGCAGTGTCGTATTTCTAAAATTGTTGCTTATTGATCTCATGTCTCAAACTGCTAAGCTGGCTATACACGATATTTGGTATGGCAGTAAGTTTACTTAGCACAATTATTTGACTTCTTAAATAAGGGCTAAGCCTAGTTGATATAACTGAACTGTAGAATGCCGAGTTGCATTAGGTGCTAAAAATATTCGAGGCCCAATTTTGCATCACGGAATGTTTTGGTAGGATTAGCATGACCTGTTTTTCTTTTTTTCTATGCGACTAACTGATTTTCTTTCTCCTGTATTCATAGAAAATAAGAAGGTGATATACCGAGAATATGCTAAAGCAACTAACGCTGACCCTATCTTAGGTCGTCTGCTCTTTAACTACCTGGATTCCGACGCCGATGGCCATCTTGATGACGATGATATCACTGTCACCTTCCATCAGTTTGATGTTGACCATAGTGGAGGCATCTCAGTCTATGAGTTTGTCACAGCCTTCGAATCGGTAAGTTTGGTGTCGGAATTTTAAAGAATACAAATGAGATTTCCAGCGCTTCTTTATATAAATGCATGGAGACATTAAAGGGAATGTTAAGATTTAAAAACCAAAACTTATCTGTATCGGGAACACTGATAGCATCAATTTGCACCATTCCAATTTCCAATCAGACGTCTGTGATTCCTGAAATTCCACTAAAACTTAGTGTTTCAAGACGTCTCTAATCGCGGAACATGCTTGTACAACATTAGGTGATAAATTTAGAAAACCTCTTTACTTACATATTCTCTTTTGCACTAAACAGCTATTTTAGTAAATATTTCAGAATACTTCCACATTTGTATTGTACATCCCCAGCAGCTTAACAAATTTTTTTTTTCAGATGGTAGCCCTGGTGTCACAAGCTATACCACAAGTTGGATAATATATTCAATAAAACATTTGTCTTTTTGTATCTTCTTAAATTTTTAAATAGACAAATTCCTGTGCAGAATTCCGGGTATAGCATTGATATTGGGAGTCGGTAATGAGGCTTTCATTTATCTATCGAAAAATGTAAGAGCTTCAGACTTGCAAAGTGAAAATGAAGTGAATAGAGTTTTATGTCCTACTTTAAAGGCCTTTAAGTCACGATATTGAGCGAATTGTATGATGTAGCCTACTTCCTAATGTGAAGGTCCATTGGCTACTGCCAATGTTTCGCCAAAACGTATTGTTCTCCTTGTGGTTAGAATCTTTGGTACGTGGTTTATTTATGGATACATATAAATTGCTTGTGTTAACACAACCAGATTTCAAACAGGCTAATGACCTTCATTTATTACCCAGTTTTACAGCCTCTAAGCCCTAACAAATCAGTTTCTTTTGATAGTTGACAAAGTATTTTGTTAAATTAACTTTGAAATATTCGTTATTACCATATCAGACGACAATATTGCCCAATATAGCTACATTTAAAAACTCTATCGGTTTAATTACCTAATAGATAAAACTGATTTTAATTTACCACATACTGAGAGTGAGATTCAAGGGAGATAACATCATCATCAAAACTACCGAAACTTGTTTGGAATCAATACCGCGGAATACAGACTCACTGGAAATAACAATTATATCATCATGTAAACGTCAATAGAGCTAACCCTGATTCAAAGGTTTCGAATGCTATTTGAAATCATTAACGCGGAATAGGCCTATAGACTAACCGAAAATGACGAAGCAGACTATGTTTACTTTTTTCGAAACATCTGATGGTACTTTCCATTTGAGCAGTCAGCTACTATAAAATTATTCCTTCCGATTTTGTTATGCTTTGGACAAATTTTTGGCTAATGGAATTATTTTGCTTGTACGGATCGTTTTACATAATCACACAAACAAGGCAGACGACCCTGATAAAAAAAATGTCCCCGTGATATTACATTAACAAAATCCCTGAACTCTTCATCTCTTATCAAACATGTCATTACACAACCACAAAAAATGTTGTGCACTATCGTGAGATAATGTATTTAACAGATAAGCTGGCTTGATAGGAATCATTTTCAAACAAGTTTTGAAACAGTCGACAAGGTAATACTCTACTGAATTTGGTTTCAGAATTTTCAGAACTCGAATTCATGTACATTTGAATAATTATCGGTAATAATGTTTTTTTTTTAGGTATCCCACCACGTTTAGCTGTATGATGTTGAAATTGGCAACACTACTGATTGTTCTGACCGTTGTGTCCTGTCAGACGCCTTCGACACTGTAAGTAAGATACCTACCATAATAATACCCAGCTAGCACGTTATTGTTGTGGCACAGGAGACTGATTAGTATCCTCTATTAGGAAATGGGCCAATAATAATAATAATAATAATAAAACAGTTTTTACGTGCCTATATACTATGCTTACACTTTTCGAAACAACTGATGGTACTTCTCTTTGGAGGAGTTCACTGCTATACAACTTTTACTCGCGATTTTACAACTCTTTGGACGAGATTTTTGATTGACAGAATTGTCATGCTTGTCCGGATTTTTAAAGGCACACGGGTACACCAAAACATCTGCCTCTATAGCTATTTTGAAAGTTGTCGAAACCAGCAGATGCAGAATAGAGGCAGATGTTCGGACTATCTTAAAGGTGATTTATAATCAATTGTCACATAGATCTAATTTTGAATTATTTTAAGTGTATACTGATTTGGTTAGCCGATATATGCTCAGTGTGTGTCTTTTTGATAGGAAAGTAGCCAAAGATATAGAAGCATTTTTCAAAGCGATGGATAAGGATGTAGATGGGAAAGCATCGTATCCAGAATTCTACAACTCGATTTACGCTATGGACTCTGATAGTAAGTACTCTACTTCATTTTACAGTCGTGTGTCGCGGTGGCTCAATGAGTTAGACGCTTACCTGAAGGTTCAGGGTTCAATCCGGCATAGGTCGAGATTATACCTTCGGATTTTTCAACCCGGTTTCCCCCTGTCAGCACTACAGGTAAGAGGGGCTGACATGGAAAAAGCGTCTAGTCGTTCGAATGGGTCAATAAACTGAGACCCCGTGTGCTACATGCTGTGCACGCGGTAAAGATCCCTCAACAGTTGGAAATGGAAAATGAGAAGGCTAATGCTGCTATCCTGGCAAAATGTACCTCATTGCAACCATACCTTCATTAGCCCACATGGTGAAGAAAACTAGGACGTAAAACTGCATTAATTTCATTTTTCATTTCCATTTTATAGTCATACTAACTAAGTTTGGTTTGATACGGTTGTTAAAATACAATATTCAATCAGTAAGAAAACTTACTGAAAACGCCATCATCGTGTCCAAACCACGCCCCAATCGTCATACTTCCTTGAGACCTTTTCAAACCCGTATTGTGATACGATCAGGTGTGGTTCCGGGTAGTTGTAGGACTTTTCATTTTAATGTAACAATTATTGTGAATATTGAAATTAAATAAATGTATTTTCATCAGTTACGTCCCTTGAACTTTTAAAATTCATCGGTCAAGTCTCTACTTTTGTGTTCGCATGTTCCTACTTGTATCATGAGCAGCTATGACGAGTGTGGCGCCAGGCAGGGTATGCTTACTCTTCTAGACACCTTATACCATTTTTTCATTATTAAATACTTAATCATGTGAAAAGTTCATTAGCGGATAACAATGATTTGCCAGTACGTTGTTTGGATTTCTGGTTTCGTTTTGTGGTTCGGATTGTTAGTAGGCTACTTGGTTTATTTATTGTGCGGTGAAATATCTTGGATTGCGATTTAAGATTATTGCCACTTTACCACATGAAAAGCTACCACTTACAAATTGCGATACTGTTAATAATTCAAAATACTCTAATGAGCTTGTATCCTATGAATTCAGGGCTAAGAGACGATGAGATGTGAACCGTCAAGAAATTTCTTTCCCCGTTTTTTGAATATTGTCATGTTAAAATTACCATTCATACTTTATTTTTTACCCTAGAAAATGGTAAAGTGATATTAAGAGAGTATATTGCCGGAACCAATCCCAGTCCGGAAATAGCACGTGCTGTGTTTAACTATTTTGACTCGGATGTTGACGGGCACCTTGATGAGGATGACATCAAAGTTACATTCAATCAGTATGACGTGAACAGAGACAGAGGTATATCTCTGGCGGAGTTCTCTACATCTTTTGAATGTGTAAGTCACAACCATTCCATTTACAAGATAAAAAAAAACATTTGGAACAAAAAACTGCTGTACCAATCGAATCTTTAATCTTTAGGGTTTAAGTTCGTTTTAAAACCAGTTATCAGTAGCCTAAGGAAAAGTTCCACTGTTCATGACCTTTTATAATAGGAAGACAGCATTTAAACTATTTAGCTTGTTCGAAAAGTTTGGTCCGGTTCAAATGGTGTCTTTCGGTTTGTAAAGGGTCTTGAAACTAGTAGGTTTTGGTGAATGGTCCCATATGCACAGGACCAATTGGCACTTTTCATTGAAAAATTCAAGACAGATTGCCTTTTGGGGCCATTTTCACACCAACAGTTGACATTATTTCAACTGATAGTATATATAATTTTGATTAATCAGATAACCACAATTCCTTATACCGGATTGTTCGAATTGAGTCCAAGAACTTTTTACGCGACCAAGAATATAAATCTAAAGACAATTTACTAAATGCAACAAAACTAATATATTTTGTATATTACAGATGCTAAGTGTAATCCGCCAGAATTTTGTCACCAGCAAACCAATTGGTTGAATTAACAAGTTTTATTATTAACAATAAAATTGTTCTTTAATTTTATCTGTGGTTTCTAACTGGGCGCTCCTATCCTATTCCAACAAACAGTTCAACCCAACTGAAATCAAATAATTGTGCATACTGCTTCTGATGAAAAGTCTTTGGTGTTCTGTTTGAGGATTGTAAAGTGGTTTTCTAAAGTGTTAATTTATTGTTGTAAATTATATTTTGAGAATCGGAGTTAGTTCCCTTACCGCTTATCGACATTTGACCTCAGTCACTGTCATTGCGGGCTTATGAAATGCAGCTGGCTTATTTTCATTGTTGCATTTTTAGTTATCTATCCTAAATAATCACCATGCCGGGCAAAGGCCAACGCCAGAAACGCTCCGAAGCAAGTAAGGATGATCATTGATCATACAGATGAAAGTGACAACAATAACCTTTTAGACACTGGTTTGGAAGAAATTCCAATCACATCAGATTAATGAAAACCTGCAGACGGGATCTGGGGATGGACAGGAAGTTCTACAACTCGAGGTAAATAATGATTTACAAGCTTTGGAACAAACTCTGCAAGACCTGCGAGTGGAGCGACGCAGAGTAAAACTTCGTCGAGAAATTGAGGCAGAAAGACAAAATATTCGACGATTGCAGGAAGGTCCTATTACTAACCACACACCCGCACAGTCCTTCCACGACACTACCTTACAAATGATCAACCAGCTCCGTATGTTTCAGCCTGAAGTGGATTCCGGTCCTTTGCCCTCAGGAATGTCAGTTAAAAATTCACGCATTTCGTCCACGAAAGCAAGACTTTCCATGATTATCTTTGGGATGATCCGTTTACGTTCGACAAAGAAGAATTCTATAAAATCAATATTGAACAATGGGGGTGCGGTAGTGCTAAAATTCTTCAGGGGATGATATCTAGCGGTGACATTGACTCTGATGGCGTTTCCGCGTACTTGGAATATACCATGTGGGTTAATAGACTATTCAGCAGATATCAAAGGCAGTGTACTATTATTCGACAGAGAATACCGCGAACTTCAGAACAAAGAAGGATTTAGATGGGGCACGCCTAAATCTCACCTCCAAGAATTTCAATTGATTCCGAAAGCTAATAACCCCACTCTTCAAATCCTGGGCAGTACAACTCCAATGAACGCGAAGACTAAGAGTTTTAATAATAGTCAGCGACGTAAGGGTCCTTAGTAATATATGTCTTTTCTGATATAGCGCATCCAGTTTGATCCGGTTTTTAAGATGGCAGGTGTATGTCTTTTCGGATATGACGCATTTCACTTCTGTGCATGCGCGGCTTTTTCAATGCGTCATATCCGAAAAGACACAACTGTTAAAATGTATTATAACAGACTTCCCCAAACTGTTAAAAAATGTATTATAACAGACTTCCCAAACTGTTAAAAAATATATCGTAACAGATTCCTCTAAACTGTATTATAAATTACCCAAAACCACAGACAAGAATCACTATAATAATACAGTATAAAATAACCGCATTAAAAATGTCTTTAATTTTAAAACACATAAAAAAAAAATTCGAGGGAGACGGTTTCTTCTCTGCGCTAACATCTCTCATCCCCAAAGTGGCCAATTTTGTCTCAAACAACAAATCCCTCATTTCCTCAGAAGCGTAAGCTCTTGGATCTGTGGCAAAAGCAGGAGTAAATATAAGTGATGCAGTGAAAAAATCTGACGAACTTAAAGAACTGCAGCTAATAGAACTAAGAAACAAGAGACTAGAACGACAAGCCCTAGAAAAACAAGGAAAAGGGTTTAAAATCATTGGATAAAAATGGCAAGCAAAAATTACAGATTGGATCCAATCTTTCAATTGTATGATCCGATTCAATATTCGTTCAACAAGAAGAAAGAGGATTACGTAATCATCTCACCATCGGTAGGGACAAAGACCCAAATAAACGACGGAGGAAGAGTTACCTTTGAAATTAATTCGTTGTCCAATTGGTTGCTGCTTTCCGATGCCCATTTCCGATGCGATTTCAAAATCATAGACGCCACTCAGAATCGAATTCCACAAACCAACACGACTTTAGAAAACAACTTCTTTCCGTCTTTATTCAGCGAATAAAACATAAAACACCCCGGCGAGTTTGACACAATGTTGAAAACGGTTCTGTATTCCAAAAACTACGATTCAGTTTCGGGATGGATTCCCGATGTCGGTGACGGAGAAGTTTTAAAAGAACCGGTCAGAACTGTAGCAAATGACGCAGACCTTGCTAGGATAAGGGTAGTTGCTAGAAACACACTGGAAAGAGTGACTCGCGGAGTAAATCACGGATTTGAAAAACGAGCGCTTCAATACAACAATGTTGTCGAGAACAACAGTTGGGGTAATTACGTTAATTGGAAGTTGTATCCTTTATTTGGTCTCTTGGAACACAGAAAGGTTTCCATAGGTTTACCGTATAAAATTCATTTGCAAAGAGAAATCAACGACAACAAGATATTCTGAAAACAACTCTGACGCAAAATTGGAAATAACGAATATCCAACTTTACATACCGGTAATCACTCCTTCCGTAGAAGTGGAAACGAGAATATTCAACTCTTTAACCAAAGACATCGAAATTGCTTTTCTTCGTCGTAACACGGTAGGTAGCATGACTTTAACGGGAGAATCCACCACGTGGCCAATCACCAACACCGTCAAACCAGCGAGATATCTAATGGTCGGTTTCAAAAACTTGCCAGACTCTCAGACAAACAACAACATTTTCAGAGTGGCATTGAACCATACTCAAGATCCCATCATTCGCAAAGTTCAAGTCAGATTGAACAACGATAATTATCCCAATCAACCTTTGACAATTGATCCTTCCAAAAAAGATTACAACGAATTGTACAGAAACTATAAAAACATGTGCGAATTGTTTGGAAATACGCCTCAGTTTGAATACACAGATTTTTCAATAAATCATCCAATCTTTTGTTTCGATCTGTCAGCTCATCAAGAAGATCTTTTCAAAACAGGGGTAAACATAAATATTCACATCGATAAAACACAAGGAGATGTAACCGGCTACTGCTTATTGCTGGAAGAAGCAAAACATTTGATTAAAATATCAGATAGAAGAATGATAAGAATTGAATAAAAAAAACACCCTTTAAAAATGAAACCAGAAACTTTAGTTATGAAAATAATAGAAGCTATGGAAACGAATTCACCGACTCTAATAACTTACAACGGTAAAAAAGTGCATATAACCCAAAAGATTATCGATAAATACAAACATTGCAAAGTCAGAGACGATATAGACTTGGAAAGAATTGATGAGAATTTAACTAAAAAAGGTGGATTTTTACCTTTCTTACCTTTAATCTTTGCTGGTTTAGCTGCAGCTGGTGCAACTGCTGGTGGAGCTGCTGGGATAGCCAAAGCTGTCAACGATAAGAAAGCTGAAGCCGCTGCAAACGCCGAAGCACGTAGACACAATTTGGCAATGGAAAGAGAAGCACGAGGAGGTTCGGGAGTAGGAGATGTATTAGGGACGGTTAAAGAATTCGGACAAAGATTTGGCGAAGAAACCAAGAAAACCGTTAAAGAGGGATTAAGCAAATTAATAGATAAAATCGACACTGGAGAAATGAAGGTCAAACACAAGGGCAACGCCATATTTTTTAAAAACATACGTTCGGGCTAGAGATTCTTCCTTTCAAAGTATAAAGGCAACGGGGTGATTTTTATACGAAAATGTAATAAATAAGAATGGGCAAGAAATTCAAACATTCGGACATATTTCCTAGTAACCCAATGCTCATGTGCATTTGCGGTAGTTCAGGTTCTGGGAAAACTCATCTCACTTTTAACATGTTGACAACACCAAAGCTTTTAGATTTCGATTCTCTGTATATCTACACAACAACACCAGAGCAATCGTATTATCAATTCCTCAAAGCTTTAGAATATTTACCAAAGAAAGACGTTCAAGACATATTTCAATATTACAAGGAAAACGAAGAAGAAGTGGAAATAAAAGATATCCTAGAAAACTTCATTAAATCAAAGAATCCATCTTTCAATCCAACGGATATAAAAGTTTTTCTTACGAAAAATGTTAATGATCTAGACTTGTCTAATATTGATAGCAATCGGAAGAACTTAATATTGTTTGACGACTGCGTAGCGCAAAGAAATCAAACTGTTCAACAAGAATTCTTCACCAAAGAAAGACATCACAACTGTCACTGCATATACCAATCCCAATCTTTTTACGGGATGGATTCTATGTTCATTAGAAAAAATGCAAATTGTTTTTTATTATTTGAATTAAACGATAAAGATTTGTCTCAAATCATTCAGTCTATAAATCACGGAATGGATAGAGATACATTTAAAAAGGTTTGTAAAATTCAATGGAGAAACCCAGATGATCATGGATATGTATTTGTAAATACTAGAAAACCTGCAGGAGAAAGAGTTATGATCGATATATGTTAATTTTATTTTTTAAAAAATGACGGATTGGAATAATTTTTTAAAAAGAAATAGAGAATATATCAAAGCTAAGAATAAAATAAAGACCCAAGTTGAAAATAACAGATTACAACAACTCGGATTAACGGAAAATCTACAAACTCTATTTCCACCCATATTAAAATCTCAAGAGGATATTAAAAAGAAATTAGCTTTAGAACCCACGCCTCGTATAGAACCCACACCTCATCACCCCAAAGCGATTGAATATAGTGGTGTTATAATTAGGACAGTAGATGATGTAAAACGTCTTTTTTCAAACCCTAGCCCAGAATTACCAAAAAGCATTTCACCAATCATTGATGAAGCGGGTTTGTTGTTCAATGGTTTTAGAATAAGATTTAGGACAAATACCCCCGAATTTATAATCGATACAAAAGATTACATATACACATTAACGAGGGTTAATAGATTTAATGAATGGCGAGGATGTTGAAATTGCCGATTACAAGGATTTAGTAGCATACTCAAAATTTCTACATGCGATCAGAAAGTCAGGACCCGAAACAAGAAGATTGAAAGAAGTTGATTTATATATAACAAAAGTTATTGAGCAAGAGGAGGTAGATGATTATGCAGAAGATTATCCACCAATCATACAAGAAATAGACGAATTCGATGATATGGTGGCATCTGGACAAGGTATAACGTTTTTATCCGACAACAATAAAGAATTGCTTAATAGATTAGAAATAATATTAGCGGCCATGAAGGAAGGTCATCGATCGCACAGACAATACAACGAAGTCAATGGCATATTAAAACGACTTTTGGAGAAAAAAATCATCACTAAAAAAGACTATATAAAAGAACAATTGTTCGTTATCACCTCGAATAAACCAGACATCAAATTGTCTCTAGACTACGAGTATGAACTCGATCGCAATAAACAGTACGAACTGGGATTAAAGTATTTCTCCGTTTACAATTCCATTAGAAACTTCAACGAAAAAAACAATCAACTAAAAATATCGACGGATAACGGAGTTACGTTCAAAACCATAAGCTTACTAGCGGGAAGCTACGAATACGTAGCCATCAACGATTACCTATCCGAATACGCAGGAAGCGTGAACGGCAAAAACAATATCGAATTCGAAGGTAATTTGAATCTGAACAAAATAAAACTGATCTTGAGAAATAACAGTCAAGTCGATTTCAACGTAGAAAATTCGTTGAATGCGTTACTAGGGTTCGATAAACGAATATACGCGCAATCGACATTGGCGCCGCACAAGGCCAACATCGAGAACGACATCGACGTGATCAACATTCACTGTAATTTGATCAACGGTGGATTTTTCAACAAGCACAAACGCCAAATCATATACAGCATACCGACTTTTACGGTGCCGATCGGATACAGAATTATAGAGAAACCGTTCAAACGACCTATTTACCAGTTAATTCTTTCATGATCAAAGATATAAATCTGGAAATCAAAGACGGTAAAAACAGGTTCATAGACTTTGGCAACGAAGAAATTGTCATTCAACTTCATTTAAAACAATCTTCATTCTCTTCTTGAATAGTAAGATAATCGAAATCATCAAATTCATAGTTTTCGTCAAAACTATACTCATCTTTGTCGTTGTAAGGATACATAATTCCTTCACTGTTTGGTGGTTTTCTTTTAACATTATTCAAATAACTTCTAAAAACTTTAGTTTGTTTATCATTTGGAATAACTACTCCATTGGTGAAACTTTTTTCCCATGGTTTATTAAATTCGTTCGACACATCATGTCCGCTTGCTAACTGAACGTAATCTTCTACACTTATCATATCATTAGAATAACCTTTAAACGTTTTCTTTTCTTTTAAAACACCATCAGAAGTCAAAACGATGTTGTATTTGACTTTTGGTGCTAAATATAAACCAAATATAATTCCACCGTCACCGTAATCGTTTTTACCTTTGCAATAGTCTTTTTCGGAGACCAAACCAGCTCTGTTTAGTTTTTTCCAATTTTTGGATGAAATGTACAAACTATCGGTGTCGGTATAGTATATTTTGGGTTTATAAAATCCATTTATGACGTGAATGAAATTGTTCATTATTTTTTTACTGTGAGATAAAACGAATGATCCCAAATGACTAGGTGTTAGTCGTGTAGATTTACTGTCTTCGGTAGTAATCTCTTTTTCTTCAATTTCTGTTTCAACAATATATTGAGTATCATTAATTTTCTCGTAGGTTTTAACGCGTGAATCAAAGTTGGCCTGTAAAGTTGCTTCATTCCATAAATGTCTAGTTGTGAATATATCTTTCTGAATTGATTTACCATACAAGGAATTACCTAATAATTTCATGCAATTACTACCCACGATATTACCTTCTCGTTTATATTTATTTCTTAAATCTCTCAAAATTAAAATATAATCTCTATAGGGTGGAGTTTTAAAATTTTCTTCGTAAACTATACCATCTAATATTCTAATAATTCGTCCACCGGCTTTCACTATTTCTTGAATATCGACCGATGTTAAAACGTCGTGACAGAAACCATTTCTGAACCTGATTTTGTTACCAGTTTCCTTTTTATCTTCTTTATTCGTGAAAGTGATTTTATCTTTAGCTGGTATCGGTTGGAAGAACATGTTTTTGGGATAGTCAAACCATACTGTTAAAATAGCTGTTCTAGGTCTGAATTTTTGTTTATTGAAGAGTTTTACAAATTCTTTTTCTTCTTCTGGT